GGGTCTGAATACTTTCCGTACCCACTGTATATATATATATATATATTAGTGCTGTCAAACGATTAATCGCGATTAATCGCATACAAAATAAAAGTTTTTGTTTACATAATATATGAGTGTGTACTGTGATTATTTATTATGTGCATATATAAATACATGCATGAATATATTTAAGAAAAATATGTTATGTTTATATATTAAATAATATATTTATATAGAATATTATATTATATTATATAAATGTATACATGTAAATATTAAAATTTCAAAATATATACTTAATGGGTGTGTATTTATATATACATAATAAATAAACACAGTACACATTCATATATTATGTAAACAAGAACTTTTATTTTGGATGCGATTAATCGCGATTAACCATTTGACAGCACTAATATTTACGTATATACACATATATAGTGCCCTCCACTAATATTGGCAGGCAACCTTGGTATGATCAAATATGAAATATGAGCAAAGGCGGCTGTGAAAATAGATCTGCATTGTTTATCCTTTTGATATTTAATTTAAAAACTTCACAAAATTCTAACCTATTATTGAAGTAAAACAATTGAAAGTGGGGGAAAATCTCATTGTGAAATAAATGCTTTCTCTAGTTCATGTTGGCCACAATTATTGCAACGTCCTTTTCCCAAGATAACAGCTCTGAGTTTTCTCCTATAATGCCTGATGAGTTTGGAGAACACCTGACAAGAGATCAGAGATCAGTTATAGCTATAATGAACAAGTTGAATTTTTCTTCTGAAATCTAGAGCATTTATTAGCGAATTTTATTTAATTTTATTCCTGTATTTCCTTATAATTAACTAGTTGCTGACTCGCCTGAACAAGGCGTTGACTTATTGGTCTTAAGGTATCAACATGGCCCTTCAAACAGTATATTTCAGTATGTTTATATATTAGCATGATGGTACCAGACAAAAACAATTTTCATTCTTATTGGTCAGAAATATCCTTCAGTGTGTGAACTTTTCACAGTTAGTGTGAAGAGATCCATCAATGCATTGTATCATAGTTAAATTTGTTGAAAATTTGTGCCAAATATGTAAACTATTATGTGTTGTGGATGCTAATGTTTTTTTGGGGTATATAAGCTTGCTGATCACAGAGAACAGACAGCATGTGATTGTGCATGTGTTTGGTCGTAGGTGGTGAACCCCTCGTTTCCAAACCCTCGGCGTCGTTTGCGTCTGCGTGATCTGGCTGAGAGAGTGATTGACGCTCAGGAGAACGAACAGGAGCTCAACAAACTCCTCAATGAAGCGCTGCTGGAGCGCGAGACAGTACAGGCGTATGTAGTGTACTTTTTATGAAAATAACTTACATAAGCATGAACTGAATGTATTGTTTTTAGACACTTAATAGGCATCTGTTAGTCAACACATCAAAATAAGTGCACTTTTTTAAAACACGACAAATGACTATTAAAACATGATGATTTCAAATGCACTTTAAATAAAACTTTCAATATGACATTGTTATAAAGTGCACTCTTTAAAAGTGTACTTAAGTGTGTTAAGAAACACAGTCATCAAAGTGTCTCTCTTTAAGTATACTTAAGTGGCCTTTTATTTCATTAATATTATATTATCTGCTAGTACTTTGTTTTTCACAGTGTTTTGTGTGTGTGTGTTTTCAGGCTGAAAGGGAAGCACACTAATCGTCTGTCTCTGCGCTTTACTGATCCGGAGCTGGAGACGCGCTTCTCGGTGGAGAAGGAGAAGCAGAGCGGAGCGGCGTTTAGCTGCTCGTGTGTGGTGCTGCTCTTCACTGCCATCATGGAGGCTCTCATTGACCCCTGGTCAGTTAACTATTAACACATCACCACACAAACACCATCAGCCTCAGCCCAGCCCAGCCCCCTATTTTAGCAGCCAAAGGTCAACGGAGGCACGTCATAATCTGTTTACAGTTATTATAGCATCTTTTTGTTGATCTAAAAATAAGGTCCTGTTGCTATTTGGCGTTTCCCTTTGTCTCCATGACCCCTGGTCAGTTAACTATTAACACATCACCACACAAACACCATCAGCCTCAGCCCAGCCCCCTATTTTAGCAGCCAAAGGTCAACGGAGGCACGTCATAATCTGTTTACAGTTATTATAGCATCTGTTTGTTGATCTAAAAATAAGGTCCTGTTGCTATTTGGCGTTTCCCTTTGTCTCCGGCTTTGAAATATCCACCTTCATTCAAGGCTGGGATCTGTACAGGTTTCCCAATTTAGATTTGATATCGATTCATCTGTGCAGACCCTTGTGGAAAAACAAGTACACTTCAGCAAACTTTAAAAAGAGTACTTTTGAACTTTTTAAATGAACATACTTTCCAGAAGGCCAACAATTCACTAAAAATGTGTTTTTTATTGGTCTTATGAAGTATTCTAATTATGGAAATAATATACTTATGTACTGTAAGTGTGAACTGAATGTAATGTTCTTTAAAAATTTAATTCAAATGTATTGTTGATTAAATTCAATTATTTTTTTTAGGGATGCACCGATATGAAAATTTTGGCCGATACCGATAACCGATTATTCTTTATTTTTGAAAGCCGATAACCGATATGTTGGCCGATAAATCTATATCCAAATTGTTATATACTTTTTGAGAGCCTGATTACAAAAAAGGTCTCATCATTAAAAGCCACATCCCAAACACTTCAACATAAGCAGCCTAGTTTGAACGGTGTACGTTTTAAAAATATTTTTACGCTCCCATTACCAAATTTAGTCATAAAAAAGTCTTACAAATAAATAAAATAATGCATAAATAATGCAAACAAGTCACTGGACATCATTACACGTGTAAAGAATCAAAATGAATGCGCCATAGATCAATAAAACGGAATAGCCTCTGCACGGACAATAATTAAATGATTTTAATTACTAAACCATATTGTTGATGAAAATAATAAGAGAAAAATACAAGTGGTTGTTGTTATTAATAATATATCAATGATTTTGAAAAAGTAACAAATTAATACCACTGTTTTAAATAGCAGCCATTGAGCTGCAGCTCAAGCTGAAGCTGAAGAGCTGAATGAACACGGTAAACTGAAGCGTTTTGCTGGCAGCTTATTTAACTCAAGGAAATGCATCCTGAGATTAATATTAATACAACATAAACATAATATTACAACTTATATATGTACAAAATGACGCAGTTATTGCATGCTATAGTCAGAATGTGTGATCCTGTTGTGGATGCGCTCTTCCCATAACAACGCGCTGAAACACAGCAACTAAACCCAAAGAATTCACAACGTTTTATTATAATAATGTTCTCATTAGAATGTTATATACACGACATTCCCAATCATAGTTATTAATGTTGTGCACTGCTGTTTGAGCTGTGTGCGCTGAGCTAAAGATGATCACCGGTAAACTGAAGCGCTCTTTTAACTTAACCAAACGCATTCTATATGAGATAAATCAGATATACATCAAATAAACACAATATTACAATGTACAATTGCACAAAAGGCTGCAAACGAACAGCGCATATCTGAAGTGTCTCTGAAGGAAATAATGCATTATTTATCGGCTTTAAGATATCGGCCAAATTTTCTTATCAGGCCGATACCGATAACAGAAAAAATGAGCCGATATGGGCCGATACCGATATGGTGGCCGATATATCGTGCATCCCTAATTTTTTTGACTCCCTTATGTAGGACTTAAGTACATCTTTATATGTAATTCTATAATTACTTTAATTGTACATTACAAAAATATGAATAAAAAAAAATAACAACTGGGTCCAAACTAAGACTATTTAACTGATGAAATAATCAGCACAACAAAATAACCTTTTGGATGCCAACTTGAGTAAACTTTAAACGGCTTTGATAAAGGTTTAAAATAGTATTGTATTCATGAATTGGACTACACTGATCATGCTGTATGTTTTTGCATGCAGCTACGGAGCCCTTAAAGGGACATGGTGTTGGAAAAAATATGGGGTGGGAGGAATTTTTTTTTTTAAATCTTTTGCGTTCTCTTGCAAAACCTTTGCATTTCCCTGGGAAACTTTCGCAAAACCAGTTGATTTCGGACAAACACTTCCTGTTGACTTTACAGCTTGCAGTGGTTCATACAGCCTAAAGAAATACAGTCAGTGCTTAGTTCAAGGCACGGATTTACAGTTTATTAATAATATATACTACATAGCCTACAGGAAAGCAGATGAGCCCAGAATATTAACAGAAAGTGCTAAATTGCACGTTAAGCGTTTTTCCTCTCATAGGAGCCATTGAAGAAACACAAGACTTTTTTTAGTCTAAAAAAAGACTAAATATGCTATACAGATTATTAAAAATATATACTTTGTACATATGTAAGCAGATGAGAATATGAGCTGAATTGCATGAGAAGCATTTTCATCCCAATAGAAAACCACTCTTGGCTTAATATAAGAAGACAGTGATATAGACCAAATTAAAAATATATAGAGGCAAGCATCGTGCTAATCCAAATCCATTAAGCCACGTTAAGAGTTTTCTTTGTTTTTCTACGGGCGAGAAAACACATGAAACTTTGCACGTTCCGTTAATATTCTGGGCTCATCTGTTTTCCTGTGCGTACTATATTTTATTAATAAACAGTATACCAGATTTGGTCTTTTTATATCACCGCCTGCTTTCATTAGCCTAACTTAAGCTTTTTCCATAACAGTTTTCTATGGGGGAAAAAAACTTGACGTGCATTAGCGCGTTGCAAAAGTTTTGCAAGGAAACGCAAAGTTTCTCGAGGGAACGCAAAAAATTGTAAAAATAGTTTTTTCCTCCCACCCTGAATTTTCAAAAAATATCGGACTAATCTGAAAATTCTGTACCTTTTTTATATGATCTAATATAATTTTATTTGTACTGCAAAACACAATAACCAGCAATTGTTACTTTAGAGAGATGTTTTTACCTTATTTAAATCAGTATGTACAGTATGTGTGTGAAAAGCATTAGGGTAGGAATGGCCAATGCTCATTTTCCCCTGTCTATGTATTTTTGCTCCGCACAGGTTGGTTGCAAACTATGTGACTCTGGCTGTAGGTGAAGTCTTGCTACTCATTCTTACTATCTGTTCGCTGGCAGCTATTTTCCCAAGGGTGAGTTTCTGTTCTTACACCTTCCTCAACCAATCACACAGAACATGTGTTCACTTGTTTGGATGCCGACTGGTTTCGTACGTGATGCGAATTTCTTGTTTCACTCAGAAATACGGTAGTAAAGTTGCTTCCAGCTTCTGTGTGATGTCAACTTTAACATGAAATTCAGTGCATCTCATCACTAAGGCCCTGTCCACACAGAGTTTAGCTGTATACGCATACATTTTGTATCGTATAGGCATTTCGTCCACATGGATCCGGCGTTTTGGGAGAGTGAAACCGATATTTTTTGAAACCGCGTCTCAGAGTGGATAAATTTGAAAACGCCGCCCTTGCGTTTTCGTGTGGAGAGTACATGTACTGTAAATGAACATACTTTCCAGAAGGCCAACAATTCACTAAACATGTGTTTTTATTAAGTTTTTTTTAAGTATTCTAATTTGTTGAGAGTGAATTGGTGGGTTTTTGTTAAATGTGAGCCAAAATCATCACAATTAAAAGAACCAAAGACTTAAACTACTTCAGTCTGTGTGCATTGAATTTATTTAATACGCGAGTTTCACAATTTGAGTTGAATTACTGAAATAAATGAACTTTTCCACGACATTCTAATTTATTGAGATGCACCTGTATTGTTCCATGTTCGCTTGTATACCGCGCGCAAGGTTTGTGTGCATAGTCCAAGTCTACTTCTCCATTTTTAGTGTATCTCTGTGGCAGAATTACAGCGCCACATGCTGATCTGGCACGTATACTACATCGTTTTGTGTCGGTTTCGTGGTTTGTGGACGCAGATATTGCTTGAGACGAGGGGGAAAAAAAGATCGGATAGGGAAAGCTCTGGCTTCGTGTGGACATAGTCTAAGGTTTTAGCCCTCATTTGCTATGAGATTTCCTGAACATGCACGATTATGCTTTCTATTAGTCGCCGGGATCATGATAAAATAAATGTTTCCATTTCCAATGCATCTTTGTCGACTTCTTATGTAATATTAATATAACCAGTCACGTGAATGAAATGTAGTTCCCGAGGCTCTTCCATTTACTGTTGGAACATGCAGTGGTATATTTGACTCACCCTCATCAGTTAGGTCAGCACATTCCCAATTGACTAATAAAGTTCCCGGTATTGATTCCCTCTCAAGCACACACACACACACACAGATTGTGCGAGCACAGTGGTAATGTGTTTCTGGAAGGGGAGACGGTCACACACACAACAGATGAAGGACACATGAGTCCATATGGCTTAACTGAAGAATTTATTGATTTTAAAAAGCATGTTGCTGTGAATTAAATCAATTGTTTCCACAATCACTGTACATGCAGCCGAACACATGCACACTGTGACTAGATCACAGGTCTTTCCATTGACCTCAGTGCTCACTTACTGTCAGAACAGGTCGTGTGCATACAACTTTTGCTGTGATTGGATGTTTATGTTGCTTTTCTGTCTTGTTTTCAAAGGTATTTCCAAAGAGACTGGTGTCGTTCTCCACTTGGATTGATCACACGCGCTGGGCTCGCAACACTTGGGCCATGGCGGCCATCTTCATAGTCACAATGGCCGACATAGTAGATATGGTAAGAAACAAGGGAATTAAGTAAACAAAAGTATGCTTTTTCTAATTCAAGAAATGTATAATGAAAGGAGGTGCTTAATCTAGGGCTGTCGCGGTGAGGGAATTTCCCTTGCGGTAATTTTGAGTGGCTCAATAGCGCGGTATGCGGTATTATCGCCATACATATACATATATATATATATATACACACACCAGCTATGCGTCGATGCTAAGACAGAGATTTCGCTTTCCTTGGACATGACAACCTATTTTCACAAATACATATGACTCTGCCTGGAGGACAGACGCAAGTAATCGCACGCGCTCAGTCGATCTCTCTCTCATTCACTGTCTGTTTAGGCTTGTTAAGTGCAAATCTACGAAGCCTACGAAATCAGCATGGTACACATTATGTTATCATTACTAACTTGTTTAATATTCAGTCCACGTGCATGAAGTGTAAAACGAGAAGGGCATAACCTTACGAAAAAAGAAAACACGGTTCTTGCATTCCTCTGCAGTTTGCTCATCAATAGCGCGGTATTGCGATATTGCAGTTATCGCGACAGCCCTAGCTTAATCTTAAAAAAAAAATTGATTATCAACCTCAGGAAGTCAGCTTTTTTCATATTAGCTGTTTTATTTTAGTTTTTTAAAAAATAAATAGCTAAATAAGTAAGGAAATGGGGATGCATGTAACAGTGTTGCAAATTCAAGCGGCAACCTCCCGCTCTCTCTCGTGAAGCCAACACGGAAGTGACTTAAACTGTAATTCATCAACTGGCCGCTAGAGGCGGGCTGCAAAAGGGAGTCAATCCCATAGACTCCCCATGTTAAAATGCCCAACTTTACAGCAGAAAAAAATATGTTTACAGCCTGGTTCAAAAAATTATTTTGGTCTATATAGCAAATTTTTCCCTTCATGACAATTGTGAGGGGGTGAATTTTTTTATAACTCATCCGTTTAAATTATATTAAGGCTTAAAGTTTTGCATAATTAGGGGCGTGGCCACTTGAGTGGCAGGTGGATTGCCACTGCTGTCACCGCCGTCGAGCTCGGTGGGCGTGGTTTCAGCAACCAGCTCCCGCCTCTTTGCCCATTTTTGATTATCTGGGAGTGACGCGCTGCCAAGATCTTCAAAAACGCTCTTTAGAAACCTGGCTACGGGTGACGTCACGGACACTACGTCCATGTTTTTTTACAGTCTATGATGTATTTATTTATTGTAATTTGGTAGACTTACAGTTCTCTTTAAATTATATAAATATATTTGTCCTGTATTTTATGATTAATAATGGTTTATGATCATTTTACATATATTTTATGAATATATTATTTATAATTTAAATATCTACATATCTACCAAAAAATGGGATTACATTAAAGGTAAATCATCATGTGCAACTTTACTAGTTATTTGCTAGTTAATACTACTTTTTTACATAGATTATATAAACTACCGCTCATAAGTTTGTGAGTAGGATTTAATACTTAATAAGATTCACTGCTTTTATTCAGCAAGGGCGCATTAAATTGATCAAAAGTGACAGTAAAGACATTTATGTTGTTAAAAAAGATCTTGAACTTTCTGTTCACCAAATTGTGGGGAAAAGTACCATGGTTTGCAAAAATATTTAACTGTTTTCAACTGATAATAATCATAAATGTTTCTTGGGCAGCAAATCAGCATATTAGAATGATTTCTGAAGATCATGTGGCACTGAAGACTGGAGGAATGATGCTGAAAATACAGCTTTGATCACAGAAATAAATTACATATTACCATATATTCACATAGAAAATAGTTATTTTAAATTGTAATAATATTTCACAATATTACTGATTTTCCTGTATTTTTGATCAAATAAATGCATCCTTGGTGAGCAGAAGAGACTTCTTTCAAAAACAACCCAAACTTTAGAATTGTATTACACCAGTGATATTAAATAAATGGACACATTTTAACTTCTAAAACTAAAGCATCACTTTTAAGATGATGTTTTTGAAAGCTGTACTTTTTCTGATGTCCTCTGTAGTTGAGCTGTCGTCCACCAGAGTCGTCCACCAATGAGGCGACTGCGGTCACTCCGGTCACTCGGGCCGCCAGCGGCTGTTCGGAGAATCCTAAATACTACAGCTACATCGCAGTGCTGGCTCTCATCGCCACCACCATGCTGGTGCAGGTCAGTCACATGGTCAAACTCACCCTCATGCTGCTGATCACCGGAGCTACAGGTGTGGTCAACATCTACAGCTGGAGGGACATCTTTGACCTGTACGATCTGACGCGCTTTAAGGAATACAGGTGGGTCAAGCACTAATCACAGCAAGGATTAGCAGTATTATTAACCCATTAGTACTCTATTATTATGTGAATAACATCTCAAATCAAGCAGTCTGTTTAGCAGATGGGTGTTGTTACTTATTTAAAGGGATAGTTCACCCAAAAATGAAAATTCACAAACCTGTATGAGTTTCTTTCTTCTGTTGAACACAAACAAATACTTTAAATAATATTGGTAACCTAACAGTTGGAGGTAGCCATTGACTTGCGTAGTATTTCATTAGTATTCAAAATGTGTTCAACACAAGAAAAAAACTTCAGGGTGAATACATTTTTGGGTGAACTGTCCCTTTAAGTGGTCAGATTTGTGATTTTCAGGGATTTTCATCTGGTGGATTATAAAACTGTGAAACATCTCTTATTTACATCGATTAAGCCTGATATCTCTAGGTATTATAATATCATTTATTTATTTATTTTTACAGAGTTCATCTTGTGCCCTCCAAATACACCATGAGTGTGATGATCTTCATCATGATGGTCAGCTTCTACTACTTCTCCCGGCATGTGAGATTTCATTTTCTCTCTTTCTCGCGCTCTGTGATCATTTTTAGTTCTCTCAAAAATGGAGATTCTGTAATTATTCACAATGACTTTCTTCCTTTAGTGAGTAGAATTTTTTGAACAATATCCTGGCCTCAATTTTCCATATAGAGCCTAATGAAAGCTTCAAGATGACATAAAAGCACCTTAAAAATGAAACTACACCCATACAACTCACGTGTTCTATTCCAAGTCTTCTGAAGCTGAAATTGATGTTGTTATTTATTGTCAAAACGGTCAAATTCCTTGAAGCTTCCTTGAAAAATGCCATATTAGATGTGCTCTGTCAGGTTTGACATCAATGACATTTGGTTAGAAGATGCAAGAAGTAATGTTTGTTGCATCAGATGACATTAATGCACCATTTTTGTCCGAACAGCCATTTTGAACTTCGGCAGAGGGAACGTTTTCAACAAATAATGACTTAAATTTTAGCCTATTCCTCACACCTATCGTATGGCTTTAAAGGACTTGGGATGCAGTGCACTAGTAAAAAAATCTACTATTATAATAATACTTTTAGGATGATTGTTTTGACATTTTAGAGCTTGACATGCCTAGTTTCCATTTACCAGCATTATATGGTTATTTTTTAAAAACTCACTTTTTGTTTTCCATTGAAGAAAAATGGTCATATGGGTTTTTGGAATAACATGAAGTTAAGGAAATAATGATAAAATTTTAGTTCTTTGGATTAAATGTTTTTTTTTATTAACATTTCAATAGTTTGGGGTTGGTAAGATTTGCATTTACTTGATCAAAAATTACAGTAAAAACAATAATATTGGGAAATATTATTACAATTTCAAATAACCGTTTTCTTTTTGAATATATTTTAAAATGTAATTTATTCCTGTGATGCAAAGCTGAATTTTCAGCATCATTACTCCAGTCTTCAGTGTCACATGATCTTCAGAAATCATTCTAATATGCTGATTTGCTGCTCAACAAACATTTCTGATTATTATCACTGCTGAAATATTTCAGCGTGATTCATCGTCACTTTTGATCAATTGAATGCATCCTTACTGGGGGAAAAAATGAGTTTTTGAGCGGTCGTGTACATTCTCACCTTTCTTTCTGCTGGCGTGGCTCAGGTGGAGAAGCTGGCACGCACTCTGTTCCTGTGGAAGATTGAAGTGCATGAGCAGAAGGAGAAGGTGTACGAGATGCGGCGCTGGAACGAGGCTCTGGTCACTAATATGCTTCCGGAGCATGTCGCCCGGCATTTCCTGGGCTCCAAGAAGAGGGATGAGGTGAGGCCTGTCAGTCCCAGCTTCTGTGTTTGACTCAAACTCTGTCAAACTCAATTAACTTTCCTATGCACATGTCCCAGGAGCTCTACAGCCAGTCCTACGATGAGATTGGAGTTATGTTCGCCTCCATCCCAAACTTCTCTGATTTCTATACAGAGGAAAGCATCAACAATGGCGGGATTGAGTGTCTGAGGTTCCTCAATGAAATCATTTCCGATTTTGATAGCGTAAGTACTAGTAGTAGGAGTATTTCACCCAGTCGTTGCCAATAAAAGTACCGGTTGAGACTTTATACTGTTATTTGTTTGCTTTTGTGCTCTTTAGCTTTTAGACGAGCCGCAGTTTCGCTGTATAACCAAGATCAAGACTATTGGCAGCACCTACATGGCAGCATCAGGAGTCACTTCAGACAATAACACTAACGGTTATGCTTGTATGAAGGTAAAGGAGGTACATGTGAGTCCATCTAGTTCTACAACCTCAATTCCAGAGAAGTTGGGAGGTTTTGTGAAATGCCATAAAATCGAGAATATGTTATCTGTTCATTCTCTTTAACTTTCATTTAATTGACTAAAGTTCAAAGAAAAATGTCCAATGTTTTTACTGACCAACTTAATTTTATTTTGTAAATATAGACAAATTTTGATGGCTTCAACACACTCCAAAAAAGTTGGGACAGAGGCACGTTTAACACTGTGTCACATTAACTGATGTATAGCTTTCTCCTAGAGTAACAGAGATTCAAGTTGCATTTCTTGATGCAGCAGCAGACTGTGGTAAATGACTGGCTTTCCGAAGTACTCCTGAGCCCATGTGGCTATATTTAACAGTGCTGCATGACGGTTTCTTATGCAATGCCATCTGAGGGCTCAAAGGTCAAGCACATTCCACTGAGCTTTACTGCCTTGCCCTACACAGACTGAGATTCCTCTGTATTCCCTGAATCTTTTCATATTATTATGTATGGTAGTTGGTGAAAGACTTAACTCTTTGCGATTTTGCATTGTGAAATGTGATTTGTTTGACACTTCTCTCATGAAATTTGGCACAAAGTGATGAGCCATGATCAAAGACTGAGATGCTCCTTTTATACCCAAACATGATACCTTGACCTGTTACCAATTCACCTGCTTACTGTGAACTGTTTCACAACAGTTTAACATGGATATTCTATAACTTTTCACTTTTATTGTGCCTCTTTCCCAACTTTTTTGGAGTGTGTTGCAGCCGTCAAAATCTAAATTTGTTCATATTTACAAAATACATTTGTGACCTTGGACCACAAACCAGTCTTGAGTCGCTGGGGTATATTTGTAGCAATAGCCAAAAAAAAACATTGTATGGGTCAAAATTATCGATTTTTCTTTTATGTCAAAAATCATTAGGATATTAAGTAAAGATCATGTTCCATGAAGATATTTTTGTGCAAATTTCCTACCGTAAATATATCAAAACTTCTTTTTTGATTAGTAATATGCATTGCTAAGAACTTCATTTGGACAACTTTAAAGGCGATTTTCTCAATATTTAGATTTTTAATAGTTGTATCTCAGCCAAATATCCTATCCTAACAAACCATACATCAATGGAAAGCTTATTTATTCAGCTTTCAGATGCTGTATAAATCTCAATTTCGAAAAATTGACCCTTATGACTGGGTTTGTGGTCCAGGGTCACATTTAAGTTGGTCAGAGAAAATTTTGGGAATCTTTTCTGTTTGAGAGAATGAACAAATCACAGATTCTTGATTTCATTGCATTTTACAAAACGTCCCAACTTTTCTGGAATTGGGGTTGTTTTAAAACAGAGGTAAAGAGGATTTTTTTTGTCCTTCCCAACAGAAAGAAGCGATTTCAGACCGGGAACGGTGGCAGCACTTGGCAGATCTTGCTGATTTTGCTCTGGCCATGAAAGTCACGTTGATGAACATCAATTACCAGTCCTTCAATAACTTCATGCTCCGCATCGGTTAGTGGCCTGACGTCCAGCTGTATGTGAACGACACAATGATTACACCTCATGATTTGCTGTGTGTTTTCTCCATAGGGTTGAATAAAGGGGGCGTTTTGGCTGGTGTGATCGGGGCTCGTAAACCTCATTTTGACATCTGGGGAAACACTGTGAATGTCGCCAGTCGCATGGAGTCCACAGGGGTGATGGGAAACATCCAGGTGACGGCTTTCACATTGTTTTAATGATACCTTCTGGAAACACCTTTCCTGAATTTAGTTCAACATCAGGGACTCTATTATTAGAGGTAGCAATGCTACATATTTCAGTCATATTTCATTAGATTTTTCACATTTCAAGACACGTCAAAAATCACAAGGGGTTTGCACTAATGTCTTAGAATAAAGCCTGAGAATGTTTTCTAAAAAAACCAAGGACGATGCAAACGCAAGTTGAAAAGTGGGTTTTCGGCCTCATTACTGCAGTGACGGCGCTGTAAGGCAGCTAAACAAACTCTGCTTCCCCAGGTGGTGGAGGACTGCTACTGCATCCTGAAGGACTACGGCTTCCGCTTCGTCAGGAGAGGACCCATATTCGTCAAGGGGAAAGGAGAGCTGCTCACCTACTTCCTAAAGGGACGTGAAAAACAAGGCTCCTTCATTAACGGCTCTTTTGTCACCCTGCCGCACCAAGTGGTGGACAGCTCTTGACCGACACGCGCACACACACTGTCTTACACAAAACTCTTGCTCGCGCACACCTCACCTCGTACCTCTTCTGCCGAGTACATGTGCTCCAGTAATTAGTACTTTCAAATGTGTTTTCTCTATTTATTAGGCTGAGGGAAGAGATTTTCTGTTTATATGAGAGAAGTACTATATAATATACATTTTGGAAGTGTGCACAGAGATGAATGAATGAAATCAAACAAGCTGAATGGTTTTATTAGGTTGCTAAAGAGATGAACAGGTTGTTTTTAAACTCAAACCGCACCGAATACAATGAACTCTACTGTATATTACGCACTGTGCTGCTCAAAGGAACCGATGAATTACCTATTTTTGTTCTTCTTTTATTTGAAATAATTTCATTATTTAATCCTTTATTTAAAGATTGCCCTGAAAGTCCCTGATATATCTGAATGTTGTTTGCCATTGAAAAGCCTTTGCCTCTCATGAAAGTGTGTGTGTGCATTTCTAAAGTCTATAGTCACCTTTTCTTTATTTTTTATTTTTTACTTTCAACCATTAATAATGGCCGTGCATGCGGTTTTGAAAGTCTGAGACCACATTAAATCATGGGTTTTAACCCTGGAAATAACCGTACAGTTCTAGGATTTTAAAATGTATAAAATACATTCAAAGATAACAATATTTACAGTTGAGGTCAAAAGTTTCAGAATCTGCAAAATGTTCATTATTTTACCCAAATAAGAGGGATCATACAAAATGCATGTTATTGTTTATTTAGTACTGACCTGAACAAGATATTTCACATAAAAGATGTTTATATATAGGCCACAAGAGAAAATAATAGTTGAATTTATAAAAAATGACCCCGTTCAAAAGTTTACATCCCCCTGAATCTTAATACTGTGTTGTTAGCTGAATGATCCACAGCTGTTAGATTTTTCACATTTCAAGACACGTCAAAAATCACAAGGGGTTTGCACTAATGTCTTAGAATAAAGCCTGAGAATGTTTTCTAAAAAAACCAAGGACGATGCAAACGCAAGTTGAAAAGTGGGTTTTCGGCCTCATTACTGCAGTGACGGCGCTGTAAGGCAGCTAAACAAACTCTGCTTCCCCAGGTGGTGGAGGACTGCTACTGCATCCTGAAGGACTACGGCTTCCGCTTCGTCAGGAGAGGACCCATATTCGTCAAGGGGAAAGGAGAGCTGCTCACCTACTTCCTAAAGGGACGTGAAAAACAAGGCTCCTTCATTAACGGCTCTTTTGTCACCCTGCCGCACCAAGTGGTGGACAGCTCTTGACCGACACGCGCACACACACTGTCCTACACAAAACTCTTGCTCGCGCACACCTCACCTCGTACCTCTTCTGCCGAGTACATGTGCTCCAGTAATTAGTACTTTCAAATGTGTTTTCTCTATTTATTAGGCTGAGGGAAGAGATTTTCTGTTTATATGAGAGAAGTACTATATAATATACATTTTGGAAGTGTGCACAGAGATGAATGAATGAAATCAAACAAGCTGAATGGTTTTATTAGGTTGCTAAAGAGATGAACAGGTTGTTTTTAAACTCAAACCGCACCGAATACAATGAACTCTACTGTATATTACGCACTGTGCTGCTCAAAGGAACCGATGAATTACCTATTTTTGTTCTTCTTTTATTTGAAATAATTTCATTATTTAATCCTTTATTTAAAGATTGCCCTGAAAGTCCCTGATATATCTGAATGTTGTTTGCCATTGAAAAGCCTTTGCCTCTCATGAAAGTGTGTGTGTGCATTTCTAAAGTCTATAGTCACCTTTTCTTTATTTTTTATTTTTTACTTTCAACCATTAATAATGGCCGTGCATGCGGTTTTGAAAGTCTGAGACCACATTAAATCATGGGTTTTAACCCTGGAAATAACCGTACAGTTCTAGGATTTTAAAATGTATAAAATACATTCAAAGATAACAATATTTACAGTTGAGGTCAAAAGTTTCAGAATCTGCAAAATGTTCATTATTTTACCCAAATAAGAGGGATCATACAAAATGCATGTTATTGTTTATTTAGTACTGACCTGAACAAGATATTTCACATAAAAGATGTTTATATATAGGCCACAAGAGAAAATAATAGTTGAATTTATAAAAATGACCCCGTTCAAAATTTTACATCCCCCTGAATCTTAATACTGTGTTGTTAGCTGAATGATCCACAGCTGTGTTTTTTTTGTTTAGTGATAGTTGTTCATGAGTCCCTTGTTTGTCCTGAACAGTTAAACTTCCTGCTGTTCTTCAGAAAAATCCTTCAGCTCCCACAAATTCTTTGATTTTGCAGCATTTTTGTGTATTTGAACCGTTTCCAACAATGACTGTATGATTTTGAGATCCATCTTTTCACACTGAGAACAACTGAGGGACTCGTATGCAACTATTACAGAAGGTTCAAACACTCACTGATGCTCCAGAAGAAAAAAACATGCATTAAGAGCCGGGGGTGAAAACTTTTGAACAAAATTGAGATGTGTACATTTTCCTTAATTGCCTAAATATCATATTTTTTTATTTAGTACTGCCCTTCAGAGGCTGCAGAAGATAGATACATGTTTCCCAGAAGACGAAATAAGTTAAATTTACCCTGATCTACAAAGTTTTCACCCCCCCGGCTCTTAATGCATGGTTATTCCTTCTGGAGCATCAGTGAGCATTTGAACCTTCTGTAATAGTTGCATATGAGTCCCTCAGTTGTTCTCAGTGTGAAAAGATAGATCTCAAAATCAGTCATTGTTGGAAAGGGTTCAAATACACAAAAATGCTGCAAAATCAAAGAATTTGTGGGAGCTGAAGGATTTTTCTGAAGAACAGCAGGAAGTTTAACTGTTCAGGACAAACAAGGGACTCATGAACAACTATCACTAAAAAAAAACACACAGCTGTGGATCATTCAGGTAACAACACAGCATTAAGAATCACGGGTAAACTTTTGAACGGGGTCATTTTTATAAATTCAGCTATTATTTTCTCTTTTGGACTATACGTAAACATCTTATATGTGGAATATCTTATTCAGGTCAGTACTAAATAAACAATAACATGCATTTTGTATGATCCCTCTTATTTTGGTAAAATAATGAACAGTTTGCAGAATCTGAAAGGGGAGGGGGGAGGGGGGGGGGTGTAAACTTTTGACCTCAACTGTAAAACTCCAAAAAATTCAGCTTTACTAAAATGATTATACTGTCAATGTAATTAGTAATAAAAAATATTCTACTAAATTCTAAAAATAAAACCCAAAGCACTTTCACTGGTGATCTCAAACTTTTGGACCCCATTATGTGTTCTAGTGTACCTCGCGTGCCAAATACAAGCCACTATGTGCGTCAGTTTGTGGTACTCTGAGGATGCAAGTATAGCAGAGGTGTATGAGTATCACTGTGAACGGGTTCATTGTGCGTGTCATTCATGGGCAGTATTGCAGGGATGAACGTTTCTTAGTTCAGAACATATTCCCCACGGTGTCTTTCCTCAAGGATTCGATGAATGTGCAATAGTTTATTCTTTTACGGCATTCTGCTCTCCGGTACAGATTTCAAAAGAGCCGTCCTCTCCCAGCAAGTCATATTTTTATATTATGATGTAAAGTTGTAGTTAAAGAGTATTGTACAAAGAGACAGAACGCTAGGCTGGATCGGTGTGTCTTATAAACTGGCCAGACAGTTCATTTATTACCAGTGTCAGGGACCTTCTCTGTCGGTAAGCAGAAATGCGTTTGATTTCGACTTTAAGATGTTGAAATGGTTTATGAAGGCATGACATTGTGGCCAATCTCGGTGGTTTGATGCAGGATTTTGCTAAAATTTGATATTTTTGAATTATCCTTAGATATGGAATAAAATGGCACTTTGAATGATCTGTTACCAAATGCCGTCTGAGTTTGATTATTTTAAATGTTTAATTTCAAAATGTTTTTGAATTTATTCCACGTAATGGTTCACCAAATTCCATAGCTACTCCGATTATTGCTACTACATTAAAAGTTTGGTAATGTGGTATTACGACACTGTCATCAACAAAATAATTAAAGCAACATAAAGTTCTGCTGTTTCGAGAGAAAACTGATATTTATGATTGTTTGAGAATAGTTCACAGTTGACAGCTGTTTGGGCAAATAGTTCATTAACAATGTTTGCATTACTCCCTTCATATAGTTGTTAAAACCAGCCTAAGATGGTTTGCTGGTCTGGTTTTAGAGGAGTTTTAGGCACTAGGTTCTGGGAGACCAGCAAACCAACTTTTTCAGCAGAATCATAAATGAAGAAGCTGGTTTTTGCTCTCCTGTCCCCAGAATCATCCACATTTTACAGTATGTTCACAACACCTCGCAAACACCGTAAAATCCAGACCAACATAGCCTACAAAAGCACACACAAAAAAACTGAAAAATCTATTAAAATATGAATATAAAACACTTTATTTTAAGGATCAGTTCTCACTATTAACTACATTTACATTGTCAATTAGCAGACGCTTTTATCCAAAGCGACTTACAAATGAGGACAATAGAAGCAGTCAAAACTAACAAAAGAGCAACAATATGTAAGAGCAAATGACTAGTTTATATGTTAAAGACAAGTTTTCCTTTCTCTTTGGAGTGTTAAAAGCTGATTGTGCATAGATAAGATCTTTCCGACGAGTGCTTGTGGTGTTCGGCCAATCACAATGCACTGGGTCAGCTGGCCAATCAGAGCAGACTGCGCTTGTCAAAGGAGGGGCTTTGTAGAAAACGAAGTGTTTGAGAGAGGCGGGGCATAGAGGACCTACAATAATGTACAGTATTTGAAAAAGAATGTGTTTTTTGAACATTAAAGCATGTCAACATATTCTGTTACACCAAATACACAAAATAATGATCTTTAAAAAAGCATCATATGACCCCTTTAATATTATTATTAACTAGCATGCATATTATCAGCATATTGACTGTTTATTAAAGCACATATTAATGCCTTATTCTGCATCTCTTAAGATCTCTTAATCCTACACCACACCCAAACTTAACAACTACCTTACTAACTATTAATAAGCAGCAAATTAGGAGTTTGAGGCAAAAGTCGTAGTTAATATAGTGAGAATTAGACCTTGTAAAGTGTGACCAATATTTGTTTACACAGTGTATTCAGTTTCTGAAAATAAAAAATATTAAATACAAAAAATACATTTTTTTTTTCCCATATTGTAATTTTTGGTGAATTGTCAAACTGACCATAACGCCATATAAAAGTATATGGAACTCAAAAAAAAAAAAAACTGGGAAGAGTCTCTGGTTTCCATTTAAGAAATCTGGTCATGAAGTCTTTCTTTAAAATCCCTTCTCCTCAGGGCAAAGGTCATGCCAGGTATAGCACATCTATACCACTTACAAACACATACCGACATTACCATGGTATTACTATAGCTTTGTAGACACAGCTTAATTATTTTATATTTTTGACCATGTGCTATATATAAATATTGGTAGGTCTATTAACCATGTAAATACAGTCATACCAGCATTATCGGTAACGGTATTATTGGATGCAAAACTTTTCTGTAAGTCAACTGGAGAAGAAAAACTGCTAAAACCAAATGGTATGACCAGCCTAGACCAGGCTAGATGACCAGCTAAAACCAGCCAACCAGCTTAGGCTGGTTTGAGCTGTTTTAGGTATTAACAAGCTTGTTGTAATACCACTTCATGGCCTTAATCATTCAGAAAGTATTAAAGTATCACTGTATTGCTATCTGACAGCATCAGTACTTTCTGTTACAGACTGTACAACAAAGACTCGAAGCCAGCACTTCTTGAGCGTGGCTTTATGATTCTAGAGAGTTCAAGGTTGTTGCGGCGCTTCCGGTGACGTCATCGCGCACCGACCGACGTCCGTGATGGACCTGCAGCTGTTCTCTGACAAACAATAACAAGAGCAGCGAGCGAGCGAGCGAACAGCGGCTTCCGTGTCTGTAATCGCGCTGATATCGAGCCTGTGAGGCGTCTCGACTCTGACATCGCCGGCGAGGAAACTCTGGCCTCCGCTGCCTCCTCCTCCGACTCGGAAACCGGCGGAGCTTCGCCGCCCCCGCGGAAGAAAAGCCGAGGCTCGGCGGCGGAGGGAGCAGGAGAGAGCGGGGCGTCTGCTGCCGGGATCACGGGCCTCTCTGCGGCGTCTCTCCCAACCCCCCACCAGCGCTCGGCCATCCGTCTCAATAACAGCTCGCAGTCGCGCGGATCCGCCGCTGTAAACGCCTTTTATAAGATGCAGGCCAACGGGACCGGAGGACAGGAGCCGGAGCCGGAGCCGGAGTCGCAGCTGTCCTGCAGGAACGGAGAGTCCTCGTCCTCCGCCGCGGGAGCGGTGCACTCCAACGGGCTGCTGTCCTCCGCGAATAACGGGCTGCCGTCCACCGAGAGCCCGGCGTCTGACACCAGCACGAAGAAGAAGAAACGACTGTCCCAGAGCGACGAGGACGTGATCCGGCTCATAGGACAGCATCTCCACGGGCTGGGACTCAAGTAAGTGACTATCGTCGGTTGTTACTGGATCGGTCAGACGACATGAAGCCATGATGCTGTCAGTGCGGCTCTCCTGGTCGTGTCGGTGGCGTGTTTGTGTTTTCACCATGCTGTCCGTTGTGTTTTTGTTATGTGTCACTGATGTTTTAATGTTTTGAAGATCGTGGCACTGGTGTTTTTGTCTTTTAACGATGGTTCTTGTAACGTGTCAGTGCTGTTATTGTTTTCACAACAGTGTCAGTGGTGTTTGTGTGTTGCCATGATGGTGTGAGTAGTGCTTTTCTACCAAGGCAGTGGTGTTATTGTTTTTTAATGTGTTTTTCAGTGTCAGTAGTGATTGTAATATTACTATTTTGTAACATGTCAGTGGATTTTTTTTTTTTTTAGATTAGTGGTGTTTTTGTCTTTTCACAATGGTGTCAGTAGTGTTCTTGTAATGTCAGTTCTCTTGTTGTTTTCACAACTGTGCCAGTGGTGTTTTTGTGCTTTCATGGTGGTATCAGTGGATTTGAGTAAACTTTAAGGTTTAAAATGTAAGATTTTGTCAGTGGTGTTATTGTTTTTTAATAACAGTGGCAATGGTGTTATTGTATTTTCACGATGGTGTCAGTAGTGTTCTTGTCATGTGTCAGTGCTTTTCACAACAGTGGCAATGGTGTTTTTGTCTTTTCACGCTGGTGTCAGTAGTGTTCTTGTCATGTGTCAGTGCTTTTCACAACAGTGGCAATGGTGTTTTTGTCTTTTCACGCTGGTGTCAGTAGTGTTCTTGTCATGTGTCAGTGCTTTTCACAACAGTGGCAATGGTGTTTTTGTCTTTTCACGCTGGTGTCAGTAGTGTTCTTGTCATGTGTCAGTGCTTTTCACAACAGTGGCAATGGTGTTTTTGTCTTTTCACGCTGGTGTCAGTAGTGTTCTTGTCATGTGTCAGTGCTTTTCACAACAGTGGCAATGGTGTTTTTGTCTTTTCACGCTGGTGTCAGTAGTGTTCTTGTCATGTGTCAGTGCTTTTCACAACAGTGGCAATGGTGTTTTTGTCTTTTCACGCTGGTGTCAGTAGTGTTCTTGTCATGTGTCAGTGCTTTTCACAACAGTGGCAATGGTGTTTTTGTCTTTTCACGCTGGTGTCAGTAGTGTTCTTGTCATGTGTCAGTGCTTTTCACAACAGTGGCAATGGTGTTTTTGTCTTTTCACGCTGGTGTCAGTAGTGTTCTTGTCATGTGTCAGTGCTTTTCACAACAGTGGCAATGGTGTTTTTGTCTTTTCACGCTGGTGTCAGTAGTGTTCTTGTCATGTGTCAGTGCTTTTCACAACAGTGGCAATGGTGTTTTTGTCTTTTCACGCTGGTGTCAGTAGTGTTCTTGTCATGTGTCAGTGCTTTTCACAACAGTGGCAATGGTGTTTTTGTCTTTTCACGCTGGTGTCAGTAGTGTTCTTGTCATGTGTCAGTGCTTTTCACAACAGTGTCAGTGGTGTTTTTGTCTTCTCAGGATGGTGTCAGTAGTGTTCTGGTAATGTGTCAGTGCTTTTCACAACAGTGGCAGTGGTGTTTTTGTCTTTTCACGCTGGTGTCAGTAGTGTTCTTGTAATGTGTCAGTGCCTTTCACAACAGTGGCAGTGGTGTTTTTGTCTTTTCACGCTGGTGTCAGTAGTGTTCTTGTAATGTGTCAGTGCCTTTCACAACAGTGGCAGTGGTGTTTTTGTCTTTTCACGCTGGTGTCAGTAGTGTTCTTGTAATGTGTCAGTGCCTTTCACAACAGTGGCAGTGGTGTTTTTGTCTTTTCACGCTGGTGTCAGTAGTGTTCTTGTAATGTGTCAGTGCCTTTCACAACAGTGGCAGTGGTGTTTTTGTCTTTTCACGCTGGTGTCAGTAGTGTTCTTGTAATGTGTCAGTGCCTTTCACAACAGTGGCAGTGGTGTTTTTGTCTTTTCACGCTGGTGTCAGTAGTGTTCTTGTAATGTGTCAGTGCCTTTCACAACAGTGGCAGTGGTGTTTTTGTCTTTTCACGCTGGTGTCAGTAGTGTTCTTGTAATGTGTCAGTGCCTTTCACAACAGTGGCAGTGGTGTTTTTGTGCTTTCGTGATGGTGTCAGTGGATTTTTTTTAGATTTCAGTGCTGTTATTGTGTCTTCATGATCGTGTCAGAGGTGTTATCGTGTTGTCATGATGGTGTCAGTAGTGTTTTTGTAATATGCTCTTTGTGTCAGTGGGGTTTTTTTCATGCTGTTTGATGGTGTCAGTTGATGTGTATATACACATCTAGTTTACTAGTTCAGTTGTTATTGTGGATAAGGGAAAAGCAAGGTAAAATAGCTTTATTGCAGTATGTCTTTCCCAGCATAAACTGTCCCGTTCTCTTTAGGTGTAGAAAAGCAGGTGAATTGGTGCACCGCACAGTTTATAGTGAGTTGAGTAGGAGTAGTGTTCCTTTCTAGGAAATTACACATTCAGGAGTTTATATGTTAATTATTGTGTTCATGAATCAAACACTGACTCCTTGTTGCTAGGAGATTGGAACTCTGTCTCTGTGTGTGTGTGTGTGTGTGTGTGTGTGTGTGTGTGTGTGTGAAAATCAGTTCTGTAATCCTGAGGCTATGATGTGAAAGGAGTATGAATTCACTTCCCAATATTCATTAACATCTTTCTTTTTGTCATGTTTCAGTCAAACTGTGGACCTGTTGATGCAGGAATCGGGCTGTAGACTTGAGCATCCTGCTGCTACCAAGTTCAGGAATCATGTGATGGAGGGGGAGTGGGAAAAGGTGAGTCTTCATGTGGCCAGTCTAGGAAATATCTTAACATTTTGGCATGCAGATGAGAGACAACTGGAATGTTTTGTTTACTCTCGGCATGTCAGAATGAAAAGAGTTATTAAAATGCTGTAACATTAATGGCCTCAGATTTTAATACCATGTTACCGAGTGATTGACATATGTTTACCATAGCACTTCCATAGAACTAAAGTAGTTTAAAGAATGGCATGGTATTACTCTGATACAAATCTGAATAACACGCCTGATAGCCATTGTCATGATGACAACCTTTATTCGTCTTGTTTTCTGTGCATATTTTCAGCAAATTTTAATATTTGGGTTAAATACCCCATTAAAACAGTTATACAATAATGCAGTGGAATCGGAGCTGGAACCAGAATCATCAAACTGCTTATGACTCCCATAAATAGCTAGTAGGATTACACCTTATGGGTGTTTCTAAACTTTGCCCTTTTTGTGTATGTAATGGTCATAAGGGTCACAACAAGCCAAACAAGCAACAGATAAGGGTTTGTCAACTTGTGAAAACTCAGTTAATCTGTCTGTGGTTTCTAACAGGCTGAGAGTGACCTCAACGAGCTGAAAGCACTGATGCATTCACCCAGCGCTGTGATGGTAAGGGTCCAAAGTCCTCTGAACATCTCCAGCATCCAGTGTATGACGGTCCTGACTGATGTTCTCCTGTGTTGTGCAGCGGATGAAGTTCCTGCTCCTGCAGCAGAAGTATCTGGAGTATCTGGAGGACGGGAAGGTTCTAGAAGCGCTGCAGGTGCTCCGAGCCGAACTCACGCCCCTGAAGTACAACACTGAACGCATCCACGTCCTCAGCGGGTATCACACTTCACAACTATTTTGGGGGCATTTGAACAGCCAAGTCATTTCCTCATTTGTTTGTCTGTCATAAGAAAGCAACTTTACTCTGACCTTTGAAAGAAATTCTGCCTGTTTGCAGCCATTCTGTTATGGAGGCTGCAGATAGAGAGAAAATTTTTTCAAAATATAGACATTTTATGCTTTTAAGAACCCTGCAAAGAATTGGGTACTGGTTAAAGTTCTACTGAAAAATAAAATAAATAAATAAATATTTGTTACTTGTTATAGTGTAATAAGTACCGAGTAATATGAATTAACTTAATGTAATTTCTGTATGGCTAAGATTAGGGTTTGGTTTAGGGTTAGTTTCTGGCAATTATGCATAATTGTCTGTTATTACCATAAGAAGTTCATGTAACATAACTACACTGCCAGTCAAAAGTTTTGAACAGTAAGATTTTTTAATGTTTTTTTTTAAAGAAGTCTCTTCTGCTCACCAAGCCTGCATTTATTTGATCCAAAATACAGCCAAATCAGTAATATTGTGAAATATTTTTACTATTTTAAATAACTGCTTTCTATTTGAATGTATTTTAAAATGTAATTTATTCCTGTAATCTCAAAGCTGAATTTTCAGCATCATTACTCCAGTCTTCAGTGTCACATGATCTTCAGAAATCAGTATAATATGCTAATTTGCTGCTCAACAAACATTTTTTATTATTATTATTATTATCAATATTTAAAACTTTGGATCAAATAAATGCAGGCTTCTTTGAAAAACATGAAAAAACTTTGTAATGGTAGTGTACATCATCTTAAAATAAAGTTACTTTTTTTTGTTTTGCTTGCCAAAAGCAGCAAAGCGCTGTTTCTCGTTTCACATGTAAAAAGAGTGTTCAAATAACTTTAAAGTCAAAATTAAATCAAAACCAAAGTCCCACTCTACTTCTGTTCTGGTCTGTCTCTCTTGGAAGTAGGTCATGTTATAGCAATAAAATCTGTTGCAAAAGGTGTTGACTTTAAAGGCCCAGCAGCAAAAAATGAGCCATTTATTTTTAAGAGTCAAGTATGTCATGAAAAAGTTCATTTAGACCCGATTTTAGAACAAAAAACTAAAACCGTATGAAAACATTTTCATTACTTGAAACTAAATTTTAAAGAACTTGTAAAATGATTTTATTTCAGCTAGTTGTCAAAGCAAACCTTTCTCATTTTGATTTGATATACTAAAATAAATCAAACTAAATAAACGAAAACTTGTATAAACATATAAAAAAAACACACACACAACAAAATTACTCCCATTTTAAGCAAAACTGAAATAAAGACCCAATTGCGATTTTATATCCCACAGTTCTGACTTCTTTTCTCAGAATTGTGAGATATGAACTCGACAATTGCATTTTTCATAAACGTCACAATTGCGAGACGTAAACTTGCAATCGTGAGAACAAATGTCCGAATTGTGAGATAAAGTCACAATTGCTTTTTTTATTCAGTGGTGGAAACAAGCTTCCATAGAAAACAGAAAATACGTTAAAAAGAAAAATCGAATTCAAAATACAAACAAAAACCATAATAGTATATAAATTATACCAAAATAACACTTTTTCAGTGAGAATAGTAAAAGGAATAATCATAATATGATTTGCAGAATATTAATCCAGATTCAGAATTTAACCTTCTTGTGTCTCATGTGTATTTTTTTAATATTCTTTTCTTTTTGTCGTCTAATCTAATGAACACTTACAGTTGAAAGCGACTAGCAAATGAGGCATACAACTTTAATGAGAGTCTAACAGCTCTGTGGCTCCAGCCTTGTTTGATCAGAGTGTGCTGTTGTTCATCGTGATGTCTGCTGTAGGTACCTGATGTGCACTCTTCCCGATGACCTGCGAGCTAAAGCTGAGTGGGAAGGCAAAGGGACGGCCTCACGATCCAAACTCCTCGACAAGCTGCAGAGTGAGCTCACATAAACACATACGACTCCTGTAACTATAACACACACATTTAGGGGGAAATATCAGTGGTCAAACAGACTTTTAGAAATATTCTCTGATCAAGCTTGGACACGTGACCATATTGTTTGGTTTATTAATGAATTATTATAACTTGATTATTACACAGTGGAAAGAACATCAGCATAATTGCTAACAGGACTGAAATAAAGAGCTGAAGTAGGATGTTGAGGTTAATTTTAGTGTTATTTGAATGGTATATGAATGTTGCTATCATTCTGATTTGTGACCCTGAACCACAAAACCAGTCTTAAGTGTACTTTTTTCAAAATGGAGATTTATACATCATCTGAAAGCTGAATAAATAAGCTTTCCATTGATGTGTGGTTTGTTAGGATATTTGGCTGAGATACAATCTGAGGGTGCAAAAAAATCTAAATATTGAGAAAATCATCTTTAAAGTTGTCCAAATGAAGTTCTTAGCAATGCATATTACTAATCAAAAATTAAGTTTTGATATATTTACTAAATATCTTCATGGAACATGATCTTTAATTAATATCCTAATGATTTTTGGCATAAAAGAAAAAACTATAATTTTGACCCATACAATGTATTGTTGGCTATTGCTACAAATATACCCCAGCGACTTAACACTGCTTTTGTGCTCCAGGGTCACATTTATGTAATTTGAGCAAACAGGATATTTTAACAACAAATTCGACAAAACGCCACGAAAATCCACTGCTGAACCTTACTGATGTTTGTGCTGTTGATGTCACTTCCTGGAGGATGCTGCCGTTCTTTGAACTTTGTCCAATCAAATGCTCTCTAGAAGCCGAAGCCCCGCCCCCTACACTATAAAATAGACGCTGAAGCCGCGGCTGAAATCGGTCACTTGTTCACAGAATTAGTATTTTCTGTACAGTGGATGGCACGTAGTGCACTATATAGGGGACAGGGAACGATTCAAACAGTGTAAATATGCTTTCCATTGAGGAAAAACAGAAGTCTGGTTTGGCGCTGTGTCCCGCTAACCACCCTCTGCTCCGGTCCAGAGACACGATAGCACGGAGCGGATCACATGCGCGAGTCGCCGCAGACCACAAAATGTATCGGAGCAATTTTAAATTCTAGACAGAATGCTATATTTTATAGCAATATGGATGAGATTGTGGCTGTCAAATGCGGCTTTATGGAGCTCAACGGCTCTAGCCCAAGCTGTGATATAAACGAACGCTATTGGCTATTTTAAAAAGGGGCGGGGCTGCTTGATATGTCCCGCCCTGTCTTCCTGTTTCAGTTCAAATGACGTCAACACAGAGTAACACTGCGTGTTTCTAAGCATTTCAGGGGACCTTTAAAGAGATCTTATAAAAGACTAACAGTAATGGATGTGAGATTACGGAGACTGGCCTTTTAAAAATAGCTCGTAAACCTTTTTGTCAAATTGTTTTCTTTCAGTGTTTTGTTTTTGAACTGACATCAGAGGTCATAGGTCTCATTTATCTGAGCAATCTTTGAGTGAAAAGGAATAATTTATGGATAGTTTTGGCAGTGTTCACTCAAACTAAGGGGGATAATTTCAGATCAGTGAGGCCTACAATAAATCAGTTTGAAAAAGAAATACAAAGCCTGTGCTAATTGAAAGAAAACAAGTTGATAAATAGTCTAAATCCAATATTTGGTAATAAAATAGCATAATGAGAGATTTTCAAGCAATTTTCTTTGTAGGCTGATTATTTTTGAGTAACAAGGTGAAAAAATAGAAAAAAGTACAAAGATAAAGTCAGTAGGTTTTAGTGCAATGCGATAACATTAACTAGCATTTTTCGGAAAAAGAAAATCCTCTCTGGGTCAAAACGACTGAAACACAACGTGAGGGTTAAACTGTTCACCAGTTCAAATATGTGCATGACAATGTTATTAAATTGTATGAAAATATTGTTATTAAAGATCTTAATAAATGGCCAGTTTTTCATATTAGAAGTTAGTGTAACGTCATGACAAAAATGACAACATTGGCTTAATTATTTAATTGAAACGGTTTAAAATAGACGTTTCTGCATTTTAAGAAAAGTGAGTTTAATATTTATGAATTTATGTATGAGAGGCTGTGCTAGACACACAAAAAAGATTAAAAAAAAAACAATCTGCTTATTATTTGACACACGAATATGCACTGCTCAGAAATGATTTTCTGTCTGAGAATTATTATTATTATTTGTTTAAACATCATTTGTAACTTTTTCCATTCATTCTGTTCACTTCTTCCTCTCTTCATCCCCTCTTTGTACAGTTTCATGTAATTCTTTTTTTCGGCTAGGGTTCGGGTCAGTTCTATTTCAGTTCAGCCAATCCAGGAGATGAATTGAATTGGGGTGGAGGGACCTGCGCAGTCTCAAGTGCAAGATGTGACTTTCACTTGATGTCCTGTGTTGGCTGAATTCAGATGAAACTGAGTCTAACCCTCTCTGCTCCATCTCTGTGTCCGTCTCTCTCTCGTGTCTCTCCCACAGCGTACCTGCCTCCGTCTGTGATGCTGCCGCCGCGTCGTCTGCAGACGCTCTTGCGGCAGGCCATGGAGCTGCAGAGAGATCGCTGTCTCTACCACAACAGCAAACTGGACAGCGGACTGGACGACGTGTCTCTGCTCATAGACCACGTGTGCAGCAGGTACCGCTTGTCAGATTGATATCGTCAGTATTTATGCAAATTATATGAACAAGGTCAGACATCAGCTCTGTTCCAAACTCTAGTGAGCTGCTTCGCTGTCTACTAGCATCGTTTTAATATTTGGTAGCACTTTAGATTAGGGACACACATTCACTATTAACTTAAAGGGTTAGTTCACCCAAAAATGAAAATTCTGTCATTAATTACTCACGCTCGTGTTCATCTTCGGAACACAATTTAAGATATTTTTGATGAAATCTGAGCGCTCTCTGACCCTCCCATAGACAGCAAGGTAACTACCACGTACAAGGTCCAGAAAAGTATCAAGATGATCGACAAAGTAGTACATGTTACATCAATGGTTCAACTGTAAAGTTACAAAGCTACGAGAATACTTTTTTGTGCAAAGAAAACAAAAATAACGACTTTATTCCACATTTTCGTCTCTATTGCGTCACTTTGGATGCGCGTTCACGACAGTACCATGACGCGGCGCCGGCGCTGACCCAGATCTGGCATGATGACGTCAGTATTCTCGTAGCTTCATAACTTTACAGTTGAACCACTGATCTCACACGGACTACTTTGTCGATCATCTTGGTACTTTTCTGGACCTTGAACGTGGTAGTTACCTTGCTGTCTATGGGAGGGCCAGAGAGCCCTCAGATTTCATCAAAAATATCTTAAATTGTGTTCTGAAGATGAATGAAGGTCTTACGGGTTTCGAACAACACGAGGGTGAGTAATTAATGACAGAAGTTTCATTTTTGGGTGAACTATCCCTTTAAGAGTTTTCCCTCAATAAACTCCTAATTTGCTGCTTTTTGATAGTAAGTAAGGTAGTTGTTGTAGTAGTTGAGTTTAGGTATGGGATCTAAAATATGGTCATGCAGAATACGGCTTATAAGCTATAATATAGCTATTAAGCTATATTTTGTGGTTAAATTTTTAGATTTTTTGTTTGCCTTTTTTTTGTAAATATGTTTAGTTTTTAGTTATTTAGTACTTGATGTTAAACTAAACAATAATGAGTAATGGTTTGGCGACTAGCTTTTAAATAATTGAACACGCATGCAACTCGGCGTCTTGAAACAGCTCAGCTCACAGTAAATGCTGCTTCATCTCTGCATGCGCTGTGAAAATGGGTTGCTTAGAGCGTGCATTTGGGATCATTTACCAAGATTTGAGTTAATGAGAAGCTTTTATGAACCAGTTGCCAACAAAGGAGAAGCTTCATGGGCAGATAAAGCTTGATTGTTTACCTTTTGAAAACTAAGAAATCAAGATGTAAGTATTGGTATTGCAGTTTTGCAGTTAGAATACTATAAAATAATTATTTAAATAAATAAATGCTTAATTCCATTTTTTCACAATAAAAATCATAATTGTTTTAGTCATATTGAATGCATTAAAAAAGTGTGGCCTCAAGTGGAGAGAGTTTTTTTTTTAAATTAACTCTTTAAATACAGTTTAGAGTTACTAAAAGAGGTTTCGGGTGGTTCTTGGAAGAGTATACCCAAAGTTTTTCCCAAGTTGTTCAGCGCTAAAAGGATGATTCACTCACTCTCAAAGTTTTCAGAGTAGTCATATTCAGCTTTTTTATTATTATTTCCTATGCAGATGTGCTCCCCTACAGAATAACCTCAAATCAAATATAGAATAATTCATTCTTTCCCAATTGGAATGTAAAATTTGTGTATTTTTTCATATTGCAATGTATCTAGCAGAAAAACCAAAATATTGCAATGTCAGTTTTGTCCAATATAGTGCAGCCCTAATGCACAAATTCTCGTTCAAATCGCTGAATTATTCATATAAACATAGTTATTTTGTCTTAGTTGAACGTAAACAAAGAAGCTCAGATTTGTGCAGAAATACGGGATCTGTGCTGTGCAAATAGGCCTGTCACTATCTGTTATTTTGGCAATAAGAATCAAACAAAAATCACTTACTGCTCTGAATTGGTCTTTGTTACGGTTTAATCGAATACTTGAAGTCATCTTCTTCTTTGAGAAGGCTACATGCTATTATTTTAATTAACTTAGCAACAGCGAATATGTTTGTCCTCTGATACCAAAATTAGTGTGAAATTTCACTGGTCCTGAAACGGCTCAGCTCACTTTGTGTTGGAACAGAGTAGTGGTCATATTAATGAAGTTGGGCTCTCTAAAATGCGTTGACTGTGATCTCCAGGAAACAGTTCCCCTGCTACACCCAGCAGATCTTGACAGAGCACTGCAATGAAGTCTGGTTCTGTAAATTCTCCAACGATGGCACCAAACTGGCCTCGGGGTCCAAAGACACAACAGTCATCATATGGCAGGTTGACCCTGTGAGTGACCTTTCCCTCATGAAATAACCAGTGCTGGATAGATTACTTACAAATTGCAGTCGCTTACTGATTCCAAATTACATGACACAAATTGTAGTCGGTAACGTAATTCATTAAGTTAATATAAGCAGACTACTTTTTCACATTGATTTAAAAAGGATAATATTGTACCGTATTGATATAAAATGGCGCAGAGAAAGAAAATCTATTACATTTGCTGTTATTAACAACATGAGCTGTTGTTAAACACATATAATATGTCAATTAAACATTACAATATATCAAGGTTTCCCAACCTGGTGTCCGTGAAGGAACTGCAGGGGATTTTATGAATAGCTAATAATTAATTGAATTAAATCATAAAAATGTAAAACTAAAATAAATGGTTTTAAAAGGAAATCAAATCAAAATAAAACACTTACTAAAAAGATTAAATATTTTATTAGTTTACCTCCACGTCATGTGACCATTAATTAACGAGAACCAGGAACATGCAAATGTGTTACTTAATAGAAACGTATTACCTTAAAAACTTCAAAAGACTTCAAGAAAATGTATTGGGTAAAAATTTTAAAGATGAAAAAGAAGAATTAGGGAGAATCGATAAATTATGATTAATTTATTGCTATCGTGTGAATAATATGTAATCATGTAATCAGTAAAAAAATAATCAGTAAAATGATTATGAGTACTTTAAAATGCAATTTATAAAACGGATAGTTCCGGTCCTTGATTCTAATTGGTTGAGATACGTTCAAAGCTGTTCTAAATTACTCTCTAAATTAATTTTTCTCTAAATTGCTCCGTGTCATGCCTAACAAAGCCCCTTAGCTGTTATAAATTCACTGTAAACTAAGGATGCACGATATTATCGGACCAATATCAGAATCGGCCAATAATGGCTTTAAATGTAAATATCGGCATCGGCCTGATATGAAAAATTATGCCGATATGTCTTGCCGATAAGAGGAATACATTAACTTGCATGTTATGAGCAAATTATGAGCTCTAAAATATTTTCAGAATTTTTACAACTCTTTTGCTTTAGACCGTTTACAAATGTTAAATCATAAAATAAAATGTTATGGTTACCACTGCATCTTTCTGGAAAAAAACAAAAAAATGCAGTGATTTATTATATAGTTTATTTATAGTTATTTTCAAATCTTCAATGTACTGTCATTATAAAAGAACTTTATTATTGTTTATTTAATTCTAACAAATAAGTTCTTGTTAAAAACTCAAATTAAAAATAATTATATATCGGCTATCGGCCAAAATTAGTTGAAAATGATCGGCATATCGGATATCGGCAAAAATCCAATATCGTGCATCCCTTCTGTAAACCACGACTTCTTGGGACTTATTGCTTTATTAATCTAATTACAAGTACTTAATTTTGGAATCTGATTACGTAATCCAGATCACATGTAATCAGTTACCACCCATAATACTGGAGTATTCTTCTTAGGATGCGAGAGTCTGATGGTCAGAGGTGTTTTGACAGGACTCTCACCAGCTCAAGCAGCTGAAGACGTTGGAGGGTCATGCCTATGGGGTTTCCTATCTGGCCTGGAGCCCTGATGACACGTATCTGATAGCGTGCGGCCCGGACGACTGCTCCGAGCTCTGGCTGTGGAACGTGCAGGTGAGGGTCTCGCCCGCTCAGATTCCTTCCACCGGCTCGTCTCGGTTTAATCCGCCGCTCTGCTCCTCCAGACAGGGGAACTGAGAACCAAAATGAGCCAGTCCCATGAGGACAGCCTGACCAGCGTGGCCTGGAATCCAGACGGCAAGCGTTTCGTTACCGGAGGTCAGAGAGGCCAGTTCTACCAGTGTGTAAGTGCCGCTGTACAGTTACAGTGTTCTCGCATATAAATGGGGGAGTCTCGTTAGCAAATGTCCGGGTCATGTTTCAGCCTGACATCAAAAGAAAAAAGTAAGAAATCATTTTATTTTGTATTAGGTAGAGTAATGGCTTTTGGTAGTAACTGGATATACTTTTTTTAATGCACAATTCTGCACAATTGACCTTATTCCAAGACCAAAAAATGTCTTTCTAATAACTGATCAAACAAACACTATAATATTTTTTATTACTAAAACCAGCTTTTTTTTTATAATTTGTGCTTAGTTTTCATGAAAGTAATAAAAAAATTATTTAAAAAAATTAATTGAATTAAATATACATGAATATACACTGCCGTTCAAAAAATTTGGGATCAGTAAGACTTGTAATGTTTTTTAAAGAAGTCTTTTATGCTCATCAAGGCTGCATTTATTTGATCAAAAATACAGAAAAAAAATGTAATCTTGCAAAATGTTATTACAATATAAAATAATGGTTTCTATTTTAATATCCTTTAAAATATAATTTATTTCTGTGATGCGCAGCTGTATTTCCAGCATCATGACTCCAGTCGTCAGTGTCACATGATCTTCAGAAATCATTCTAATATGCTGATTTATTGTTAGAATTATCAATGTTGGCAACAGTTGTGCTGCCAAATATTTTTTGGAAACTGTGATACTTTTTCAGGATTCTTTGATGAATAAAAAGTTTAAAAGAACAGGATTTATTCAAAATATAAATCTTTTCTAACAATATAAATCTTTATCAATTTAACACATCCTTGCTGAATAAAAGTTTTAATTTCTTTCAAAAAAAGAAAGATTTACAGATTTCCGGACCCCAAACTTTTGAACAGTAGTGTATATTGTTAGAAAAGATTTCTATTTTAAATAAATGCTCAACTTTTTATTCTTTAAAGAATCCTGAAATAAAGTATCACAGGTTCCAAAAAAATATTAAGCAGCACAACAGTTTCAACACTGATAATAAATCAGCATATTAGAATGATTTCTGAAGATCATGAGACTCTGAAGACTGGAGGAATGATGCTGGAAATAAAACCAACTTTATTTTACAGGAATAAATTACATTTTAATGTATATTAAAATAGAAAAACATTATATTACATGATAACAATATTTCACAATATTACATTTTCCCCTGTATTTTTGATCAAATAAATGCAGCCTTGATGAGCAGAAGAAACTCCTGTAAAAACATTAAAACAATTTCTGATCCCAAACTTTTGACCGGTAGTGTATATTAATAAAAAAATACAAACAATGCACTGCTGTTCAGACGTTTGGGGTCGTAAGATTTTTTTTTATGCTCACCAAGGCTACATTTAATGAATCAAAAATACAGTAAAAACAGTAATATTGTGAACTATTATTACTATTTAAAATAACTGTTTTCTGTGTGAATATATTTGTTCAAATGTAATGTATTTCTGTGATGCGCAGCTGTATTTTCAGCATCATTCCTCCAGTCTTCAGTGTCACATGATCTTCAGAAATCATTCTAATATACTGATTTGCTGCCCGAGAAACATAATTATTATTATCAGTGTTGAAAACGGCTTCATAATATTCTGGAAACCACGATATATATTATTTTTCACGATTCTTTGATGATTGAAATCTCAAAATGCATCCATTTATTCAACTTACTCGTACCAAACCTTTGAACAAACTTGTATGTGTGTATATTAATATGAGATTGACCCAGTGAGAATCCTGGTGCGTTTTAAAGGCGCACATTGCTAAGTGATGGTAAATGGTGACGTGTTGATGTTATCGGTCAGGATCTGGACGGAAACCTGCTGGACTCCTGGGAGGGTGTTCGTGTTCAGTGTCTGTGGTGTCTGAATGACGGCAGGACAGTGCTGGCCTCTGATACACACCAGCGCATCCGTGGATATAACTTTGAAGATCTGACCGACAGGAACATGTATGTCGACTGCGTTTATCACTCATAGATCTTGTTGCAGCTTTTGTTGGTAAGAGTTATGTGGATGTGTTGGTTGTCGTCTCTCACAGAGTTCAAGAGGACCATCCGATAATGTCCTTCACCGTGTCAAAGAACGGGAGATTAGCTCTGTTAAATGTCGCAACTCAGGTGAGTATGAGAACACGGCTGGATGGGCTGGTTTGAACTAATGTGAAGCTTTTTTGCACTGATGCCTTATTATTACTTTGTTATGAGCAGTCTGAGATTATGGTGTGATTCGAAAGTTCTATAAATAAAAGTGCGTTCAGGGACTCACCGTAATTATGATTCTGACTTGTAAAAGAACTCTTAATTGCAATTTTTGGAATATTGATATAGTTCTGGTCCTTTGTGTGGAACAGGTCTAACAAATTTCTCATTGTTAATGCTTTAACTGCCATTAAGTTAAAGGACTTTTTTTGTAAACTTACCACATTACCTGTACTATTACATTAGGTTTTGGTGATACCGCTCATACCTAGAATGTTTGACTTATTACTCACACAATTAAAGTGATAAGTCAGAGTGTAGTTTAGTCTCAGCGCTGTGTGTTCGTGTCTGCAGGGAGTTCATCTGTGGGACCTGCAGGACCGGGTGTTAGTCAGGAAGTACCAGGGTGTGACTCAAGGCTTCTACACCATCCACTCCTGTTTTGGCGGCTACAACGAAGACTTTATCGCCAGTGGCAGTGAAGGTGAGAACGTCTGCGTCTCAGTATAACGGACTGAACGCATCCAGCAGAGAGCTGATGGGGTTTGTGATCTGTGTGTTCCCTCTAGACCACAAAGTTTACATCTGGCACAAGCGCAGCGAGCTGCCCATAGCCGAGCTGTCGGGTCACACACGCACGGTCAACTGCGTGAGCTGGAACCCCGCGCTGCCGGGCCTCATGGCCAGCGCCTCGGATGACGGCACCGTGAGGGTCTGGGGTCCCGCACCCTTTCTGGACTCCCAGGAGACCGAGGGGCTCACCGGTATGAACCTCCTCATCTCAGTCAAAATGCTGCTCGTTTGTTGTAACATCAAATTGCTAAACTCCATCTGAAAAATATTCAGCTGGTAAACTATGAAACAAATTTTAACGGCATTTTGTTAATTGTTTTATAATTGTTATACATGCAGATTGTATGAGCTCACACAAGTAAGAGATTTATATTTGTACTACTTTTAAAAGTGACCACTGGGACATTTAAAATGAACTAGCGAAGGCCAAAAAAACAAACAAAAAAAAACTAATGATTAATGATTCAAACTTAAATATGCGCTTTCCCTTACACATTCAAATAAAACATAAAATAGTAAACCTAAAATCCTGATGTTAATTTAAAAATAAATAAATGGACAAGCAACATGCCCACTATCCAGTTGAGGTTATTATAGTTAACTAAAACTATAACCATAAAAATAAATAAATAAATTGTTACTTGAAATAAAATCAACTTATTTAATTTCAGCTAGTTGCCTAGTCAGCAACATTTCTCATTTTCCCTCATTTGTGTTTAGTGTAACTGAAACAAAAATAACAAAACGAAATAAATTAAACTATAAACTGTATAGACAGTTACTGATGGGGTTTGTGATCTGTGTGTTCCCTCTAGACCACAAAGTTTACATCTGGCACAAGCGCAGCGAGCTGCCCATAGCCGAGCTGTCGGGTCACACACGCACGGTCAACTGCGTGAGCTGGAACCCCGCGCTGCCGGGCCTCATGGCCAGCGCCTCGGATGACGGCACCGTGAGGGTCTGGGGTCCCGCACCCTTTCTGGACTCCCAGGAGACGGAGGGGCTCACCGGTATGAACCTCCTCATCTCAGTCAAAATGATGCTCGTTTGTTGTAACATCAAATTGCTAAACTCCATCTGAAAAATATTCGGCTGGTAAACTATGAAACAAATTTAAACAGCATTTTGTTAATTATTTTATAATTGTTATACATGCAGATTTTATGAGCTCACACAAGTAAGAGATTTATATTTGTACTACTTTTAAAAGTCACCACTGGGACATTTAAAATGAACTAGCGAAGGCCAAAAAAAACATCAACAAATAACAAAATGGAATGAAATAGTAATTAATGAATTAAACTTAAATATGCGCTTTCCCTTACACATTCAAATAAAACATAAAATAGTAAACCTACAATCCTGATGTTAATTTAAAAATAAATAAATGGACAAGCAACATGCCCACTATCCAGTTGAGGTTATTATAGTTAACTAAAACTATAACCATAACCATAAAATTAAATAAATAAATTGTTACTTGAAATAAAACCAACTTATTTAATTTCAGCTAGTTGCCTAGTCAGCAACATTTCTCATTTTTCCCCCCTCATTTTTGTTTAGTGTAACTGAAACAAAAATAACAAAATGAAATAAATTAAACTATAAACTGTATAGACAGTTAAAAAAAAAATGCAAAAATGTTCATTATAATTAAGAATGTGGCTGGTATTAAATATTAAGAAGGATTGTCATGATACTAAAATTTTAGGAATTTACACCAGTACCAGTAAAAATATAAAATTAAATACATTTTAGTGTGTACCTGGCTGTTTTCATTACAAACTGAAATGCGATGAAATTAAAATGAGCTTTGAGCCTAACATCTATATGCTAGTGTACTCATAATTCAACGATATCAGATATATAGTGTACATTTACAGTTCTGATCTTCGGCTAAAAAAAACAATAATTTTTTCCCTGAACTTTTTTTAATCAAGAAAGACAGACCAACTGAGCTACCAAGTTGATGGTATATATGCTTTTTGATGCTTATTGAAGCCATCTGTTCGCTTTTTCATATATGAACTTATTTCAACCGTGATACTAAAATTTTAGGAATTTACACCAGTACCAGTAAAAATATAAAATTAAATACATTTTAGTGTGTACCTGGCTGTTTTCATTACAAACTGAAATGCGATGAAATTAAAATGAGCTTTGAGCCTAACATCTATATGCTAGTGTACTCATAATTCAACGATATCAGATATATAGTGTACATTTACAGTTCTGATCTTCGGCTAAAAAAAATAATAATTTTTTCCCTGAACTTTTTTTAATCAAGAAAGACAGACCAACTGAGCTACCAAGTTGTTAGTTGATGGTATATATGCTTTTTGATGCTTATTGAAGCCATCTGTTCGCTTTTTCATATATGAACTTATTTCAACCTCATTCATGCTCAACAGCGGAACACCTGATAAAATTACATTGCCCATGATTCTGCAAAGAAATCCTCACCAATCTGAGAATTACGACAAGAAATTCACACTAAAAAGACTAAGGGCACTGCGATCTCTCTGCATTCTCAAACTACTTAAAATGTATAATATATGCATATTTTTGAATGGGAATTAGCAAGTAGCAAATTATTGTTTTGTTGGGCTTTGGCTAACTAAAGACTGTGACATACACACCTGCTTAAACTTCCTGTTTTACTAGGAAATGATACAGGAACAAAAATTACGTTTGTCAAATCATGTCTTTAGAAATGTTCATAACTACTACATAAAACTAAAACCAATACGGAATATCAATAATGAATAAAAATAAAAAAACGAGCTAATTTGCGAAGTAAAAAAATAAATGAAAAATAGGTGTCAAATCTGGACTTTATGATTCATATATACAATCTTAACAACTCTTAACTATAGCTTTTAAATATGCTTCTGGAATTCAAATGGATTTCAGATTCAGGAATGAAACTGTTGCTGTGGTTTTGGTCTCCATCTCTGCTCCTCTTCTCCTCCTGTAGAATGCTATAGCATGGACAGTTGATGTTGACTCCGGAGCAGATGTCCACTTTGGAAAATATACAGTGAGACACACTATAGACTTTGTGAATGAAGAACGAGAAATGAAGTAAATCTAACGGCAGATGTTAGATTTTTTCCTGGCGGTTTCACATCCCCACCCGCAGCGCAGCGGACACATGAAGCTGGCGGCTGCCCTTCATCATCTGACTTCACATCCGTGTGGCGGCCCCAAACGCACACGCCTCGTTGAGGACACGCCCCTCCTCGGCTCAAGCTCCTCCCCCTCCCCTACACTGCATTCTGAGTGGACAACTGCCTCCTGAAGCCACACCCACCCACACACACGGACAAACATCGCTCAGATCGTTATTTATTACGGCTTTAATTTATTATTGTGAATGAATCAAGGCCTCAGGCTTGCTTTGTGTTCTGTACAATATTCACTCAGCGAGGGGACAAAAAAAAGTGCAATCTCTCGCACGTGTCGGAGAGAGAACAAATCATATCTTTATTTTTCAGCATGAACTTCTTTTAGCCACCTCGTATGCTTGAAAGTAAGTGTCTTCACCAGCAGATATAAGATATTGTTTTCGTTTCCCTCACGACAATTTTAAACGACTGAATTTACAGGCGTTTTTTTAACTGATTGATATTCGTTTCGATTCGAAAAGCCCAATAATGACCCCATTATTTTTCATTGCTTATGCTACTTTATTCTGAGAGCGGGAAGTGATGGATTGTTATTCTTTAGTCTTGAGATGTAAGATTTACGAAGAAAGACGCATAACAGGACAGGACAAAACAGGTTGTTTTTTGGTAACGGGGTTGAAGACAAACTAAACTAGGCTCGCTAAGATGCTAATGACACGCCAATGAGCCGACGTCACGTTCCACATGTAAATACAGGCCTTCAGCATGCGTACTTTGCCTTCGTTAGGTGTTCGTGACGTGCTTGAGGTCATTTTTGCAGTGAATGTTCAGGCTCTCGGTGTGAGACGAGTGATTTTGTCACGGTAAGTACGTCAGAACAGACTCCCAAATGTTTCTGAGTTCAGTTTCCATGTTTGATGTCCGTTTTTTTCCCCCCTCCTCTTCGGTCTCGTTTCCTCTCGTATTATCACATCTTGACTTTTTATGTTTGGTTTTTTTTTTAAATGCTTTTCGGACATATATGATTACTCATCAGCTTTTCTTAGTTTTATTGGCTTTTATTTTGGGTTGATTTATTTGTTTTGCTTTATTGCTTTTTCCCTTGTATTATCGTATAACGGATGTCTTGGCAAGTGGCCTCTTGAATGCTTTTTTCTATTGGTGAATTTCTTATACTTTCGCACCATATGACGCATTAGTACACGCAGGTGTACCCGTAATGATTTAGGTATTCAGAGTGTCATCAATCGCCTACTATGATTCATTCTGTAATTATGTGCTCTTCATATACATGTATATGAAGAATATATATATATATATATATATATATATATATATAAATAAATATGTGTGTGTATTTCTTGCCATGTATCCTCCCTTACAAATGTTAACCGTTTCTCACCTGCATCAGGTAAACTCCTTGTACAGGTTATTTGCTCCCTGACCAGCCGAACCTGTTCCATTAGCGAGGAGTGACGCGCACAAACGAACACACTATATATATATATAATCTCTATATATATATATATAATATATATATATATATATATATATATATATATATAAATAAATATGTGTGTGTATTTCTTGCCATGTATCCTCCCTTACAAATGTTAACCGTTTCTCACCTGCATCAGGTAAACTCCTTGTACAGGTTATTTGCTCCCTGACCAGCCGAACCTGTTCCATTAGCGAGGAGTGACGCGCACAAGCGAAAAGACAAAACAGGTGCATGCAGAAACACCCTCACACATATGCGAGATCTCACCGAATCGTGGTGTTGTACGTTCTGGTTTATGCAACTGAACTTTCCTTTCCTTCTGAATATTTGTGTTTCATTTCAGTCTTAGTTTGACTTTCTTGTGCTCTGAGGCGGTGTAACAGGCGGGGTAACGGTAGCGCCGTGGTGGAGTTCTGGGATACGACTAAGTTTATTGCAGTCAGGTTCTGAGGATCTGTTTTGCTTTTCAGTGTGTTAATATTCTAAGTGATTGTACTATTATGTAATGTTCTGTAGGAGAGGTGTTATGTATACATACTTTCAATAAAGCATTCAGGGTTTTAAACTATCCGGAGTAAGCCGACACTTTTGTTAGATGAATGGTTTCTGTCAAAATTTGGAATCAATCCTGAAGACATCAAATAAAACCTGTTAGATGAACTGGAATGTTTATGACTTTTAAAGATTTTGATTTTGATATTTTTTAAATTACAGACCTGGAAATAATCATTTTATTTACTTTTTTTAGTTCTTACCTTTTAATGCTAACATTAAAACCATTAAGAAATTGTCTCAATTATTAACATAACCTCAATTCCCTGAGATAACAGGAACGAGCACTGCGCCAGTTTAGCTGACACTTTGGGAAAACTCCATTTCTCTGTAATACTGAAGCCGGATTGAATCCCGTTTGTGCAACTGCATGAACAAATGGCATTTCAGCCAAAACCGGTGGAGCCAATTGCCTATTAAAAGTTGGCACTGAATGCATTTCATCAGAATCTTTCTCCACTCCCTGGTTCAATCTGCCCGGCACATGCACTTTCTTCAGCGAACGAAATTTGTGTTGTGCTCAGGTGCCTCGCCAGCCTGTACAGAGGCTGCAACCCCTTGGTGGTTTATGTAGGCTACCACTATCATGTTGTCCGAACAGACCAAGACATGGTACCCCTTAAGGTCTGGCAGAAAGGCTTAGAGTGCCAGAAGAACTGCCATCATTTCCAGGCAATTGATACACCAGTGCTGCTCCAGGATTAACCAGGAGCCGATCGCTGGTCTGCCCTTGCACAGAGCTCCCTAACCTGTGTTGGAGGTGTCTGTCGTGACTACCTTCCTCCTGGAGACCAGCCTCAAATCCATTCCTGTCCGGTACAGATGAGGGGCTTTCCAAGGGGCCAGGGCCTTGACATAGCTGTGGGTTCTTGAGGCGTCCCAAGTGTGGGACAGGACCTGGGATTTCAGCATGTGAAGCAGGCACACTCCCTTCTGTCTCAGGGGGGAAGAGGGCCACATCGATTTTGTAAAAGTGTGTGTACCTGAAACTGAATCTGGATACTGGTAAGCCACCAATTCGAATGCAAATAAAAATGGGCTGCGGTGAGGGGCTATCTTGATATGAAAGTATGCATCTGTCAGATACACCGACAAAAAACAATTCCCTGTGAAAATTTGTGAGAGGATTTGTTTTAAGGTTAACATCCTGAATACTTGCTTTGAGCAAAGATGGGCCTGAGGCCACCACTCTTTGGAACTAGGAAGTAGCAGCTGTAAAACCCCGACTCGCTGTGAGCTGCCGGAACATTTCCATGCCACTCTTTGCCAGCAGACTCTCTACTTTGGATTGGAGAATGCAAGCTACGCTGCCCCGGACCGAAGTTTGAACCACGCCCCTGAAACAAGGTCTGTGAATGAATTTGAGCGAGCAGTCTCGTTTGATTGTTTCCAAGACCCACTTTGACACACCTGGAATGGCTTCCCAAGCCTGGCTTTGGGTGGTGAGAAGTCGGGCTGATACTCACACTGTTGCGAAGAGGAGAAGTCGTTGATGCTGGCATGGCAGGCTTCTGAGTGGACGAGGCCCCCTGGAGACTTGAAACAGCAGCCGAGCCGAATCGTTTTGGCAGGAAGTGGTGCATGACTTGAGACAACTTCTGAGCCGAGACCGTGGAGTCAAGGAAAGCTGTCTTGTCAGTGTCCATGATCTCCGTTAAATTCATCCAGAGGTGGCATTCAAGAATCACCAGGTTGTCCATTGCCTTAGAGCAGGGGTGTCAAACTCAATTCCTGGAGGGCCACAGCCCAGCAGTTTAGCTCCAACCCTAATTAAACGCTCCCGATCCAGCTAATCACGTCCTTCAGGCTTATTTGAAAAATGCATGGTTTGTGTGCTGGAGCAGGGTTGGAACTAAACTCTGCAGGGCTGCGGCCCTCCAGGAACTGAGTTTGACACCCCTCGCAGCTTCTCATACCTCTGATCCTCAGCACCACCAATGGAGGTGAGGGTGGCCAATGCTGAAGAGTTGACGCAGGCCGAGTAGGGGGCATGGCACAACCTAATCCATTCATTGTGAACTTCAGGAAAGAACGGGGCAGGTTTCTTCCAACTTGCTGCAGCTGCAGAAACCATTCATCAAGTAGGCTGCAGACGGGCTCATCCAGAGACGACCACTCCAAGCCGAGCTCCTCGATGGCCTTGGTGAGGATGCGTATGAGTTTGGTCTCCAGACCGGGTCTGGCATCACCTGGCTTACTCTGCGGCAGGGGGCAGAATCCTCTGTAGAGTTTGTCCAATCCTCCACATGAAGAGCTGCCAATGACACCGTGTCCTCCTCGGAACCCCTAAAGGGACCAAACCACTCGTGAGGGGTGCTGGTCTTTGCGGGAAAAGAGCACTGGGGAATACTCTCGCTGTGGGGAGATTGAGACTTATGGGATATGAGCTCACTGAGACCCATCTGTTTTTTCCTCCAAGGCTCCTGAGAGGAAGAAAAAGCGGAACACAAGGGACGGGGTTGCCATCTTTACAGAAAGTGATGCGTGAGACTCTTGCTCTCGCAATGACAGCAGCTCGTCTCAGTCAGTGCAGCCTTTGCATGGGCTTTGCCCGAACAGGCAATGCACATCTGAAGAGTGCAGGAGTGCTCTGCATGTGCCACATTCGTGGTGTGGCATTTTGTAACAAACGGCACAAGAAATATGCTCTCTTAGATGAAATATGCTCTAATAGTTTTGCCGGATAGCCGTGGAGAAGCACCGTTCTCAGCTGCGAGGGCTGGCAGCGCCATGATCGGCTGCTGGGGCTCTTCTACCGCGAGCAGGAAGGCTGCTTCTTTATCTTCTTTTTGGGAGTTAGTGAGGAGATTATCTTCTCGCTGACGGAGAAAGATTATGATGGAATGGCAATCAGCGCTGACTTATTTAGGCCAATGTCTCCCCCCATTTTGAGAGGCTGAAAGGTAATTTGTTGCTGTACAAATGAGATTCAAACAGGCTTCAGTATTTTAATGAAACTGTATTTCCCCAAAGCATCAGCTAAACAGACTGAATGAACCGTACTGATAAGGGGAAATTACTAGAACTTTGAAAACAGAATATATTAAAATAAAAACTATATTTTAAATATAAAAATTGATCTCAATATTAAAATCTTAATGATTGTGATAATACTAAAATAACACTGATATCAGATGTATTACAACAGCAAACATTTTAGGCATTCTAGTTTTGAGAAAATATCCAGTATCATTTAGGTTTTTCCATTTTCTCTGAAGAAATCAAAATTTAGTTTGAGAACAAAACTGGCTTGTGAATCATAATGTGCTATGAACTGAATATAAATGAATTGTGAAAGCGTGCTAATCATGATCATCTTTTTTTATTTAATAAACTCCACAAACGCAAATATTCAAAAGAACTAAACAAAACCGATGACAGATCTCACATGCTTACAAACCAAACCCTCTCAAATGATGAGACATGAACAGCTACTGAACAGATCTACTCAACACAGAACACTGACTGATCAAACTCACAGAAGATCATGTGACGCTGCGTAGTGTTTGAACAAAACCACACCCCTGCTTACCCAGCATTCATTAACCTCAACAAGGGTGAATTCACAATTCAAAATCAGAGAAAGATATTTTGTGTAAAGAAAATAACACCCATTTTTAGATTTTTTTTGTATAGTATTTCCTTGACAATTAAGCATTGATTTTAAATTAAGAGGCAGCACAGCAAATACTATGATATATTAATACAAAACTTTTTTTTAAATTTAAATTTGATGAATCTTGACAACTGAATATTTATTACTGTAATTAAAGCACCACTGAAAATATTATAAAATACCCAGGAGTAAAACATGCAGGCGCACTAATGACAATTCTGTAAGAAAAATGTGCTTAATTTTCATTAAAATATCTTTAATGGTTCTAAACATTCCCTTCAGTGTCTTTAAACAAAATATCATTTATTTCTTGTGATTTTGGGGTTCAGGTTTTGTGAGATTCACCCCTACATAGACGAAATTTCACTTAAACATCATCAAATATCAGCTTGTCTGATCTGACTCTGACTCGTTCTTGAACATAAAAAGCAGGAGACACAAAAATCAATATCTGCTCAAAACAAGCCATTGAAATGCCATTAGCAGGAAGCTGGTGAAACGGCTCAGATGTGATTCAGACCGGATCTGTGATGAACACATTAGTGCTTATTCTAGAGCTCCTTTGAGTCACGCTCCGTTCATCTGTAAACAAGTTCACATACACAGACAACGCTTCCAAGAACAGACAGTTTACAAAAGCATGCAAGTGGATGAGGGAAAAAAAAAATCATGAAACTTATTAAGAACATGTCCAGCTCATCAAAACAAAAATGATGCATATATTTTAAACCATTAAGACTTCTTGCACTGACATTTAGACGACAGTTAAGCACGTTTTGACTCCAATTTGTCATTATTATTGTAATGCAACAAAAAAAACTCTCATTGCTGTAAAAAAAGACTATTTAAATCATAAAAATGTAAATGGTAATATATGTGCATCACAGTAATAGTTGTATCCATTTAACTTCTATTATGGAGTGTAATAAGAATTATGAAAAATAAAAGACCTTACATTAACGACACAGTGCAGGTTAAAATGTGCTTAAGTGTCCCAAAAGTCGTGGTCCTAAAAAAGGCTTTGTTATCTTTATGTAAAACAGTTTTTCTTTTTTGGTGGGTGAATGTATGGAGGCTTGTTTCTGCCACGGGATGAAAAAAATGAGAACGTAATTGCGACTTTTAAAAAAAATAAATAAAAAAATGTTGAGTTTATATCTCATAAATCAGACTTTGTATCTTGCAATTCTGAGAAGAAGAAAAAAGTCAGAATCGTTAGATATAAACTAGACTCTTTTCTCACAATTCCGCAAGTTTAGTTTTTATTTTTTAATCACATAATCGGAATATTTGCAATTCAGACTTTTTCGGAGTTGATTCGGAGTTTTATCTCGCAATGCAGTACGCGAAAAACGAAATGTTTTTGTATGTACAATACGAACTCAGAATTGTCCGGTACAATCTTGCAATTCTGAGGGGAAAAAGTCCTGATTATGAAATATAAATTCAGAATTACAAAATATATTCAGACTTTGTTTCTCACAATTCTGAATTTTTTTTTTTGCAATTCCAATTTGTCAGTTCAGAATCGCGCAATTCTGAAACAAAATCCTAATATATCTCAAAATCTCGCCATTCTTTCTCAGAATTGCAAGAAAGACATCTGAATTGTGTGATAGTCACAATTACCTTGTATTATTTGATTTAGGATCCAGTGGTGGAAACTGAGCATGTTTTGTGTGGTTGCTGGTCAAACAGATGATTCAGGATTCAGTGCCACTGTCTTGATGCTTCAGCCCCGAGAAGCAGTGCAAGATTCAGAGAAACCGAAGGAGAGCGCCTGCGGTGGGGGGGTTTGTGTTTCTGAGGGTCATTAGTGAGGATGTGTTGAGGAGAGCTGGGCTGATCTTCTGATTGGGATGCATGGAGTTTCTTCACAATATGTAAAGGCCAGTTCATGATTTGGCAGTTTGTGTTGTGAAGACGGATGCGGGTCAGTCGTTGATGAGAGCCAGGATCATGCTGCAAAACACAGCAGAGAAAATAACAAACCTCATTCACACACTCGACATTAACACTCCAGCTACTGTTACCAGCTCTTTAACATTTCATCTGAACACTGAAACACATGTGGATTCAGACTGAGAGTTCAGTTCTACACTGTGTGTGTGAGTTGCTGAAGTTTTGTTGAATGCAGTATGCAGGCGTGTGATCAACCGAGGTAAAAAAATAAAATAAAAATGTTTTTTTCACCCGCTCAATAAGACCATATAATAATAATAATTATTAATTAAATTCTAAAGTAATTACTATGAATAATTATTGTTAATATTCAAAATATTTTTTGATTACGATTTAAATAAAATGTCACAACGACGTAAAAATGGAGTATTTAATCAAAAATATAATCATTATTGTTAATCAAACTAATAATAAAAACATTAATAATTATTATTTAGTATTTAATATAGATTGATATTTACATTAAAAATAAATATATGAATAAAATAATAAATATACATTACTATTGCAATACTATTCTCCTGTAAAATAAAAACCGAGTTGGTCAAATAAAAGTATAATTACAATAAAAGTATGAATAATAATAAAGATTGTTGATAATGATAAAAACTAATCATTTGTAGTACTGTTAATTATATATACAATACACTGAATAAGTATAATAATATGATTCATATTAACAGTAGTAATTATTACTGTTATTGTAGCTAATAATAAACCACTGACAATAATAGTAATTATTATTACATTATTTTTCATTGTATTATTACTTTAAGAAATGTTGCTATTCCAATACTATTTTTAACTATGATTTAATCATATGAATTATTATTATCATTTTATTTTACAGAACAACTGTAAAACTTACAGTAAAGCTACAAATATCCGTCTTAATTTCTTTCCTTTTTAAATGTTCAATAATTCCTTTAGAAACAATGATGCTACCAGCTCCTTGTTGAGAAAGATAATGTAGCTCTTGAGCGATTAAGCTATTTAGTTGATAAAACTGCGGAGCAGGGCTAAAAAGTTTGTTCCTGGATGTCGTGAGTTCGGCCGCAGCGTGATCTGTGTGTGTGACTGAACTTAACACCAAACTGCTTCTGTTTCACACAAATGCTGGCACAGATGTGCATGTTCGGCTAGCACATTTGGGCGGCATTATGCTAATATTTCCACATAGTGATGTAGATATGTGGGGGCGTGTTAGAACGAGCCGTTTTAGGTAGGTGTGGCTGACTCTTAACTTTTATAAAGAATATCTCTTTGGATTTGAGACTTTAGTCTTTGCAACTTTACAGATCTTCTTTATGCACCAAGAGCTTGTAACACTCCAAAGAGAAAGAAAAACTCGAAATCGCATCATATGACCCCTTTAATACCAGATTCGGTTGATGTCAGCTGCATTTTCAAATGTATCAGTGACCCAAACGTCAGCCTCTTCCTGTTTAAGTGGACGCTTCTTGGCCAGAATAAGCTTCAGAGGCTGTGTGTGTTTTACCTGTACAGGTAGATGAAGAAGCAGAGGAGGTGGAAGCCCAGTTTGATCATGGCCTCCTTCATGTGGGACTTGAGCTGGCCTCTGTTGTGAATCTCTGTGGGATCGTACACTCCCATGTTCCCCATGGGAACCTTCACGTATCTGCTCACACACACCACCGACAGTTAGCTGCAGCGCTCCTCAGGTGTATATATGCAGTGAGTGAGGTGTGGTTGGGCTGAATCACCTGTAAACGTCCCAGGATGCCACAGGGAGGTTGAGCAGGAACACAAACCAGTGCATGGAGACCAGCATCAGGACCGTGGCCAGCGCCTGAGCGATCATCTCAGGAATGACCCACTGAACACAAACCACAGCATCACCGCCAGAACAAAACATCAGCTCATTTACAGTCAGATAGGAGCAGATATACAGAGCATTTCCAACGGTGTTTCTTTAAAGATCTGTCCTGAAAATGGAAACGTTCAAATAATAGCAATGCTGCTGTCAGATAATGAATTAAAAATCACGTTCCTGCTGCTTCCCTGTCCCTCACATTTCTGAGATTTCATTTCATCTGAAATGATGCACTGCCAGTCAAAACAGGAAGACTCTTCTGCTCACCAAGCCTGTATTGATTTGATCCAAAATACAGCAAAATCAGTAATAATGTGAAATATTTTTACTATTTAAAATAACTGCTTTCTATGTGAATATATGTTAAAATGTAATGTATTTCTGTGATGCGCAGCTGTATTTCCAGCATCATTCCTCCAGTCTTCAGTGTCACATGATCTTCAGAAATCTGTATAATATGCTGATCTGCTGCTCAAGAAACATTTCTGATTATTATTAACAATAACTGAAACAGTTTACATTTTCAGGATTTCTGGATGAATAAAAAGATCCAAAGACCAGCATTTATTTAGAAATCAGTACTTTTATTTATCATGGATGTGTTAAATTGATCAAAAGTGATGATAAAGAAATTTATAATGTTGCAAACGATTTCCATTTCAGATAAATGCTGTTCTTTTGTACTTTCTATTCAACAAAGAAACCTGAAAAAAATTCTACTCGGCTGTTTTCAACATGATAATAATAATTATGTTTCTTGAGCAGCATATTATACTGATTTCTGAAGATCATGTGATACTGAAGACTGGAGTAATGATGCTGAAAATACAGCTGCGCATCACAGAAATACATTACATTCTACAATATATTCACATGGAAAACTGCTATTTTAAATAGTAAAAATATTTCACAATTTTACTGTTTATGCTGTATTTTGAATCAAATATACAGGTGCATCTCAAATTAGAATGTCGTGGAAAAGTTCATTTATTTCAGTAATTCAACTCAAATTGTGAAACTCGCGTATTAAATAAATTCAATGGCAGCTGCTGCGCTCACTGGCGCACATCTTCACTCAGCTCCAGAGTTTAGGAAGGATACGAAATACACGGAGAGGAATATTAAAGCGCAGCAGTCGACGAGGGACGAAATAAACACAGCCGCCTCCATGTTTGCACTTCCGCGTTCGCCGCTTCCGGCTGCTTCCTTCTTCTCGCGCTGCTGAAGCGTCGGTGTCGAGTCACTAGCGCGCCACCTTCCGGAGGACCCGAGTCCTGCAACAACACGAGCAGCAGCTAGTTACTTCTAACGAAATCACGCAATTTAATTACAAAATAAATGTAATTGTAATCAGTTCCTGAGAAAAAGTCTGATTTTGTGCTGGCTGTGCTTTAAAATTAAATGATCGCAATCTTTTGATGATTTGGAAAGGTTTGAGTACAGCAAGGTTAACTCTGCCTGCTTTACATGCTTGAAAAGGATTAAGAGTTAAAGACATTTGGAAAAGTAAATAAATGTAATCAGTTACGTTACTTTGACATAGTAATTGAAATACACTACTTATTACATTTTTAGATATATATTTTAGACCTGTAAACTATTTCCAAAGTAACCTTCCCAACACTGCTCACACAAGATAATGCTCTTTTATGGCTTGAATGAAAAACACAACACTTAAAATGTAAAAAGTTAAATCATAGTAGCGTCAAAAACATATACCGTTAAAATGAACAAACAAAGGCAAAACAGTTGTTTAAATAATTTGCCTTGAATTGGTTTAAACCTGCCATACACGAAAGCCAACTTTTTTTTTTTGCTCGCATAAAGATGATCAATCCAAACATTTATAATAAACACCGTTTTAATCATTCTAAATTATGGATAGTTTTAGACATTCATTTTTTTATTTTCATTGTGGTACCAAAACGATCTATTTGAAAATAGCTATTTATTTGACACATTTTAATTATTGCGTTACTCCATAAAAAAGTAACTAATTACATTACTAAGTTACTTTTTAAAAGTAATGCATTACAATATTGCGTTACGCCATAAAAAAGTAACTAATTACGTTTCTAAGTTACTTTTTTAAAGTAATGCGTTACACTATTGTGTTACTCCATAAAAATACTAAGTTTCTTTTAAAAGTAATGCGTTACAATATTGTGTTACTCCATAAAAATACTAAGTTACTTTTAAAAGTAATGCGTTATAATATTGCGTTACTCCATAAAAAAGTAACTAATCACATTACTAAGTTACTTTTTAAAGTAATGCGTTACAATATTGTGTTACTCCATAAAAATACTAAGTTACTTTTAAAAGTAATGCGTTATAATATTGCGTTACTCCATAAAAAAGTAACTAATCACATTACTAAGTTACTTTTTAAAGTAATGCGTTACAATATTGTGTTACTCCATAAAAAAAGTAACTATTTGCGTTACTAAGTTACTTTTTAAAGCAATGTGTTACAATATTGCGTTACTCCATAAAAAATGTAACTAATTACGTTACTAAGTTGCTTTTTAAAGTAATGCGTTACTCCATAAAAAAGTAACTAATTACGTTACGATGTAACTTTTTAAAGCAATGTGTTACAACATTGTGTTACTCCATAAAAAAGTAACTATTTGCGTTACTAAGTTACTTTTTAAAGCAATGTGTTACAATATTGCGTTACTCCATAAAAAATGTAACTAATTACGTTACTAAGTTGCTTTTTAAAGTAATGCGTTACTCCATAAAAAAGTAACTAATTACGTTACGATGTAACTTTTTAAAGCAATGTGTTACAACGCAGAAGAAGACATTTCAACACACTTCAGCAGTAACACAAATGTTTGTCTAGAGTAATTTGTGCTTATTAGTACGCTTGAACTGGATCATCGAAGGTCAGAAGCAAAGACATTGGTTAATAGAATGGGATTAAATACATAAAGCATATTTGTGTTGTTTAACATTTAATTATTATAGGTTTGCGTCATATTCTGAGTTGCATTATTTTTATTCATTTTGAGGAATACTGAATCTGTGTTTTTTATTGTGAGTAAGATGAATTAATGCATATTCATATTTATTTTAGAACTACAGTAACATCTTCTGATTTCTCTCAACAAGGGGACAGGAGAGCTGCCAATCAATAAATTGGAAAAAAGAAAAGTAACTTGCGTTACTTATTTGAAAAAGTAACTCAGATATTCTCTTGTAAATTAAAAAGTAATGCGCTACTTTACTAGTTACTTGAAAAAAGTAATCTGATTCCGTAACTCGCGTTACCTGTAATGCGTTACCCACAACACTGCTGAGCAGATTATTGCTGAAGTGAAAGTACTTCAGATTATGAAAGTGTAAAAAGGTATAAAAGTTTACAGTAAATTTATTGTTCTAAAATTACAGTTTTTTGACCAAATGTAAAAAATTTGCCATTGTGAATAAGTTTGAAAACATTTGATATCTACATGCACTTGAAGGGTTATTGGCTCTTTGTGTCTTCTGTGTGAGAACGGGGCTTTGCTCACAGACTCCCTCTCCTCCGTGCAGGATCTGGGAGGCTCTCACAGATAACTATGGCAGTGTGATGCCGGTGGACTGGAGTCAGTCTAAAGCTCGCTCACTTCACCTCTCAGCGCTGAGCATTGAGGACAGACCGGTGAGTCTCAGTCTCGAGCCTGTGTCCGCTGATGGTGACAGCATTCAGCCCCGCAGTAACTCTTCCTCTGTCTCGGTCCTTCAGCGGATGGAGAGTGTGAACCTGGACCTGTCTGATGATGAGGACCTGAGGGAGCAGATGGACATGCACTCCATCATCGTGTCCTGCATCAATGAGGAGCCGCTGCTCACTGCTGAACAGGTGAGGACCCAACCTCAGTCCTCACAAACAATCAACGAGCTGTACGATCAAAAGAACCAGAAAACAATGAACCGCTTTGGCCAAGCAAATACTGACCCCAGACCTTTGAACTGTATCATTCATACAGCGCCTTTCCATAGCTCAGGGACACTTTACTTTTGAGAAATGAACATCAATTGAATATTACAAACAAACATTAGAATAGTACAAGAAAAATACATGAATACTTTTATTTCTTTTAATACTTTTATTTAGCAAGGACGCAAAGTGACAGTAAAAACATTAATGATGTTTCAAAAGATTTCAAATAATTGTTCTTTTGAACTTTCTATTCCTCAAAGAATTCTGGGGGAGGGGGGATGTTACATTTTTTATAAATTGCTTGTAAGTTGTGTACGTTTTGCGAATTAGACATGCTTTTTGATTGTTGAAATTAAATTCATCCATTAAAAATGGAATCGAGAAAAAATTTAATTTTGAAAATTTAGGTAATTTTTATTTTTATGCCAGAATAAAAAATAAAAAGGTAATTGCGACTCTTTATCTCACAATTAGTTAGATAACTCTTGAGATGTAAACTATAAACAAAGTCTGAATAGTGAGAGAGAAATTCACAATTACCTTCTTTATTCCATAAATAATAAAACACAATCTGGGAAAAAAAATAAAACTAATTTCCCTAAAAGTATCACGGTTTCCAGAAAAATTATGAAAAACCTGAAATAAAATTAAATTAAAGGAGACATATTATGCCCCTTTTTACAATATGTAATAAAAGTCTCTGGTGTCCCCAGAATGTGTCTGTGAAGTTTCAGCTCAAAATACTCTACAGATCATTTAGAAAATGCCTATTTTGAGTGGAAGCAGAGACATGCTGTTTTTCGGGCCTGTCTCTTTAAATGCAAATGAGCAGCTGCTCCCCGCTCCCTTTTCCCAGCTTTTCCAGCTTTTGAGCTGCGCCATTACAGCTCATACCTGCTAAAAACAGCTGTTTTGGTTATGATTATCATGGTTATCACGCTGAAATCATGCGTTTTAAACCATATTAGTTTAAACTTCTGATATAGGGTTTTCTGAGCGCACACATCCGAAGCACACGCACAGAAAGCGGCTGTCACAGCATGCGAGGATTAAACTAAGTTCTCATTCACACACAAGTTTACGTTAAAAACACACACGAGTTACAAAAACAGTGGGTTATGTCTGTGAAGGTAAACAGCTGGGAAATAAATCGCATGTTTATTTCAGATCTGTGTGGCAGCAGCAATATACAGTAAATAAATCAATAAATCCACTGCTCTCTTGTCTCTGAGGCTGGGACTGTAAACAGTGTTCTGTGCTCGTCTCTGCAGCCAAAGACAGAACAGTTAGCATGCTTTGCTCAAACTTTCGCCGTGGCATTACACCATTGTCGCTTGCGAAAATACAGTAATGACGCCATTGGTGTAAACTTACAGATTAAGGGGCGGTGATATTATAATGAGATCCCTTTGCCACGTCACCAAGTGAGCGAAATCAGATGCGCTGGTTTTTTTCAGACGCTTGCAGAAAAAGGCGTACCAAAACAAAGTTACTGGGTTAATCTTTTTCACGTTTCCTTGGTTGGTAGATGCACCGGGGACCTGATTATAGCACTTAAAACCTGGAAAAGTCAGATTTTCGTGATATGTCACCTTTAAATAAAATGATGAAACTTATTTTAAAGACTTGAGTAATGGATACTGAAAATTCTGCTTTGCTATACATCACATTTGAAATGATATTCATATACAGTTATTTTAAATTGCAATAATATTTCACAATTTAACTTTTTTTTTACTGTGTTTTTGATCAAATCTGAATGCATCTTTAGGTGATTGAGGAGCTAGAGGAGCTCATGCAGGACTCCCCAGAGATAGAATCGGCGCAGATCGCTCCACACTCAGACCTCTCGCTCATCTCTCAGAAGACGCAGAGGTCTCACAGCAGCCAGATCTCCGAGGAGCGTGAGTACGTCCCTCTGGAGGTCAGATGTAGGGCTGTGGAGGCGTGTCTGAGGTGTGCTCTCTGTGCAGGAGTGAGGCTGATGTCTGCGCTGGAGCTGAACGACGAGCTGGAGGACGTGGAGACGGCCATACGCAGGTATTCAGAGGAGCTGATCCAGCAGCTGGCCATCAGAGATGAGCTGGAGTTTGAGAAGGAGGTGAAGAACAGCTTCATCGCGGTTCTCATAGATGTACAGAACCGGCAGAAGGTCCACCGAGAGATGTTGAAAAAGAAGAGGAAAGTGAAGAGCGCGTCTGCATCAGAGAGGCTGCCGTCTTCTGTGAGTCGCTAGATTGGGACGTTTAGCAGAAGTATTTGTGTTTTTAAACACAAATAAGTATAGTGCTGTCAAATGATTAATCGCGATTAATCGCATCCATGTTTATATATTAAATATATTTATATATAATATAAATTATATGAATATAAATATAAATATATACATGTAAATACAGGTAAATATTTTCAAAATATATGCTGTATGTGTGTGTCTTTATATATACAGAATAAATATACACAGTACACACACATGTATTTATGTAAACACATATTTTTATTTTGCATGCGATTAATCGCGATTAATCATTTGATAGCACTAGTTTTTTGTCTTGAGCTCGGTCAAAATTGACCCTGTTTGTTTTCTTAAGGCAAGTCACACATTGCTTTTTCATGCACTGGTCACTTTTGAGATTTTTGCTTTCAGACAAGTGGAAAGAAAACATCCAAAATACACTTTTAAAGAGATAATTCATTCCAAAAACGAAAATTCTGTCATCATTTACTCTCCCTCAAGTTGTTCCAAACCCGTATGAATTTTCTTTCTTTTGTTGAATATTTAAGATATTTTGAAGAATGTTGGTAGCCAAACAGTTTCTGGTCCCCAATGACTTCCATAATATTTTTTTCCAAATTATGGAAGTGAATAGGGACCATCATCTGTTTGGTGAGTAAATGTTGACCGAATGTTCATTTGTGGGTGAACTATTCTTGGGCGAAGTGTTTATCTTATTGAACAATTTATGTGTTTATCTTATTGAACAAATTATTTATCAATTTGCATTAGGGCTGCACGATTAATCGAATGCGATTGTCAAGCGCATTTTGATAGTAAAGCCGGTTCTGTAATCAGCAGGAAATCATCATCACGTGCTTTCAGATGGAGCAGAATTTACTACACAGAGCCGTAGTTCACTGACAAGTTACGCAAAAAAAATCGCAGACAATTTTATTACGCGATTCTGAAATCGAAGAAATCGTTCGCGATAATGAGCTGTTTGCACAGCTTCTCAGTGAACTACGGCTCTGTGAAGTAAATGCTGCTTCATCTGAAAGCATGTGAAAATACCACATTTAATAACATATTTTTACTCCAAACTCACTTCATAACGTCAGTCGAGTGTTTGAAATAAATCCTTCTGTGAGATGATGTGGCTTCTTACACAGAATAAGGCACGCAACATATTTCATAGTATTTATGCAGTGTTAAAGGCATTGCATTGGAGTTTCAGTGCGAGAGCGCCCTCTGGCCTTCGGATGGAGATTTACTGCTGATCACAGAACCGTGCTTCACTGAAAGATACACATGACAATCACAGCTTCTGTCGAATCGCGATCTCGATTCCATTTTGATTTATCGTGCAGCCCTAATTTGCATCCAGATATTTGAATTACAAAGCAGATCTTTAAAGGCCGTTTGAGTTGTTTCTCCTTTTCAGTAGCACTTAACACCAGTTTTTACAGTTTTATTCCTATATAGATTTGGTTTGTTCATATATCATTTACATGATTTATACATTTTATTTCTAAAAACATGTTGATTTTCGGATTTATAGAGTTATAAAATGAGAAAATCTCTTTTTATGACTCCATGAATTAGAAAATATTGTCAAAATTTTTCCAAAATCCCCTCTGTAAAAACATAACTCTAATATGTCAGCAAAATAAAAGAGGATTTTTTTTAACCTGGCTTTATCCAGATTTCTGTTCAGGTAATGTATGTAAATGAGTGCGTATTTAAATATATAGTGCCTGATTTGCATATTTAAACCTATCATTTCAGAAATCTTGTAATAAAAATGTTTGCAATTTGAGAAAATCAAGTCCCATTTATTATTTTATTTTATTATTATTTTATTTTTTGATTTTTCAAAAAGCCCCACTTGGAAATATGTCAAACTATTGTAGTTGAGTCGTTCATAACTTCATGCAGACTTTAAAGGGTTAGTTCAAACCCATAAGACTTATCTAGAGAACACGAGAGAAGACATTTTTAATATTTTCTTATAATTTCTCATCCACTCATTAAAGCTCATGCAAGCAAAATTGTCAAGTTGCATCAAAACATAGAAAATGTAAGGCACGAATCAAGCAGTTTAATCCAAGTCCTCTGAACAGATTTAATTGAGGTTTTCATTCACATATAAACATCAACACACATACATAGAGCTCATCAAAAATGGTAAAGAATCTCAACCGCGCTTGAGCATGTTTGAGCTTTAGTTTACCATACTGTATTTGATGAGCTCTACGGATGTGTGTTGTTCAGTGTTTAAATGCTGATGCCCATCACAACCCAAACCCACTGTGACAAAATCCAATCACAAGTGGCTGCTGGTCTGGAAACACATCTTTTCCAGGTTTTTGACGAGCTCTTTCTTCTTCCTCAGATACCTCTTGCTGTAGCTGATGTGATTTCTCTTTCATTCTGTTCTTTCTGTCCCGCTCTCTCTCTTCTGTTCTGTGCCTGTAGCGCTTCAGCATGGAGGGAATCTCTTCTGCCATTCAAAACGGCTTTCGCCACACTTTTGGCAATGTGCGCGGGGAGAAACAGGTGCCTATATCTCTGGCTTTCTCTTTTCTGCTCTTCTGGGAGTGTCGAATCTGCTCCTAAAATTCACATCTAATAGTATATGCAGAAACCTTGCCAGCTGGATACCACTTATCTTTTTGGCCATTATAGACGTACTGTTAATCAGGTTACTTAGTTGTACTTCATGTAAATGTATCTGTTCAGGTTTAATGTGGCCACCCTAAAAGAGATCTTACATTGTATATATATATATATAGATCTTCATTGTTGTTGCATCACAAAATACTACCGTGATTGTAGAAATGTATATAAAGAGATTGTACATTTAAAAAAAGTTCTAAGTAGATTTTCCAAGACTGTGCAGATGTTTTGAGACCGATCCCATGTCTGTCTGGCATGTTCAACCCCTCTCATCTGTGCTTTTATTCAGTATGTAACAACAGTCATCCCTTACGAGAGAAAAGACGGACCACCGTCACTCCAAGACCTTCAGATTTTTACCAAAAGTGAGACAAAGCGCTTCTATTTAACAGGAATACCCTGTTTTTTTCTGCTGCTGGTTGTTAGTAGCATGCACGTACTTTAAATCATGACATGTGCTTTCCTACAGTTTTAGAAGCCATGAGAGATGACAGCGATAAAGTCCCAAGCCTCCTCACAGACTACATCCTCAAAGGTAACAGCAGCACAACGAACCGAATGCATACTATTTAAGAATCGAGCGCTGCAGTGATGACATTGTTTTGTAGGCCAAACCCTAAGTTCACATCACGCTGATTCACCCGACAAAACCCAGTGGGATTTTGGAATATTGCAGTAAATAAGATCTGTGACTAACAAAAGTTAATGATTCTTACATGTTTAGTTCATCATGATAATCTTCACAAATGAATGCAACTTTGATGAATTTTAAAACCTTAATACAGTCAGCAGAAGTAAAAAGCTAAACATAGGCTATAAACCAACCACTATTGGTCACATGACTTCAGCGTCACCACCATTAGTCTTTCTGTCTTTATTTTAAATAAAATATTTTTCCTGAAAGTTGGAGTTAGAATAGTTTAGAGTGTGACAACAAACACAATGAGGCTGTGAAAGCGACTAGAGTTGATCTGTTTACTGTGATTAATTTAAAGGGATAGTTCACCCAAAAATGAAAATGTGATGTTTATCTGCTTACCACAGGGCATCCAAGATGTAGGTGACTTTGTTTCTTCAGTAGAACACAAATTATGATTTTTAACTCCAGCTTTTGCAGTCTATCAGTCGTATAATGCATAGCAATGGTAACAAAATCTATGAGAGTAAAAAAAACATGCACAGACAAATCCAAATTAAACCCTGCGGCTCGTGACGACACATTGATGTCCTAAGACACGAAACGATCGGTTTGTGCCAGAAACCGAACAGTATTTATATCATTTTTTACCTCTAATACACCACTATGTCCAACTGTCTTTGGGCGCGCGCAGGCATCCGGTGCGTGAGGTGTGTACGCGCTCTGGCGTAGTTTACGTTAATGGCTGTGTTGATATCCAGCTGAAGAGCAATCAAGCATAACTTCAGGCGAGCAGGCTCAGAAGTTGGGAATATGTGGAAAGTCACCACTCCCGAATGAGTTCGCGCTAGAGAACGTAATCTTTTAGTTTTAAGTTGGTTTGAACAATCCGGATAAGTGCAAGTAAGTACCATTTTGATTAGCCGTCGTACCTACAATGACTGTGCACTGTGTGAACAATGAGTGACGTATACGCGCGAGAGATCACTTCCGGCGCTTGTGTAAACTACGCCAGAGCACGTACACACCTCACGCACCGGATGCCGTGTGCACGCTCAAAGACAGTTGGACATAGTGCTGTATTAGAGGTAAAAAATGATATAAATACTGTTCGGTTTCTCGCACAAACCGGTCGTTTCGTGTCTTAGGACATCAATGTGTCGTCACGAGCCGCAGGGTTTAATTTGGATTTGTCTGTGCATGTTTTTTTTACTCTCATAGATTTTGTTACCATTGCCATGCATTATACGACTGATAGAGTGCAACGGTTAAAGTTAAAAATCATCATTTGTGTTCTACAGAAGAAACAAAGTCACCTACATCTTGGATGCCCTGGGGGTAAGCAGATGAACATAAACTTTTCATTTTTGGGTGAACTATCCCTTTAAGGCATTAAACACAAAAAAAACAAAAAAACATCATCTCTGCAGCACTATTTTGGCGTTCTTTCAGTTAATGAGTTTGAATTGAAATCGAATTGATCACAAGGAACAGGATGTTGAATTGGATTGGCAGAAATAAATTTTAATTTTAAGAAATGTGAGAAGTTTTATTAGTTCAATGCAAGTTTTACAACACGCCATACGTGTGATAGTGCCATACACTGTATTCAGATAACTTTATTAACATCAGAATGCTAAATATATAACAGAAAATCCCACAGTGCATTAATTGTGTGAAGGTGTCCCTGTACCGGTGAGATATAACTATGGATATAATGTCAGCTCTGCAATTATTGGAGTTTTTCACGAAAGAGAGCAAAAATTAAATTAAATTACATTATTTCTGTAGATTTTTCGTGGTTCCACCACAGGACAAATAATAGTAACGTAATTATGACTTTTAATCTCACAATTCTAACTTTCATTCTTAAAAATTAGTGAGTTTAGGCTTTCTCGCAGTTCAAAGGTTTTTTTCTCCGAATTGTGAGATGCAAACGCGCAATCGCACGTTTAAAAGTCGAAATTGCGAGAGACAGAGTTGCATTTGTTAATTGTTGATGTTAGCACAATTGAGTTTACAACTCAAAATTGCGAGATATAACTTAAAATTCGGAGAAAAAAGTCAGAATTGCGAGATGTTAACTCACAACTATGAGTTTATAACTTTCGATCGCAAGACATAAACTCGCAATTCTGAGATGTTAAAGAAAGAAAGTCAGCATTGTGAGATGAAATGTCGTTTTTTTTATTCCATAGCGGAAACTTTATGGATATATATCGCTAAATTTAGAGATTTGACAGATTACAATTCTGCATCCTGTTTGCTCTCAATTTAATTCTGAATGACAGAACGCTGGTAATAAATAGTGATCGTGTTGTACTGTTTGCAAAGGCAAACTTCACTGACACCCTAAATAATCATCATGAAAAATCCCCTTAATGTAGAATTGTTTTGCTCTGCTCACATTTAAGCTGTTCGCTGCATGCATGGCATCTTCTCTTCTGTTGCTGTGAGGTTTGTAAGAGGTGTAGTTAATGAGTAATATGATGAGCATTTAGATCACCCTGTGCCTGTGTTTGCTATATAATGTGTCTCCCTGCCATTACTATAGCAACAGATAGCATTCACTGCTGAGTGATTCGGCTTAGTCTCTTTTTAGTGGCCCAACACATGTCTAAGGAAAAGAATTGTGAATTCTGTTATTATTTACTCACCCTCATGTAATGTGTATGACTTGTATATGCACTACTGTTCATAAGAAGTCTCTTCTTCTCACCAAGGCTGCATTTTTAAAATCAAAAATACAGTAATATTGTGAAGTATTATTAGTACTATTTAAAATAACTCTATTCTGTGTTACTATATTGTAAATGTAATTTATAGCTGTGATGTAAAGATGAAGTTTCAGCATCAATTCAGCTTTGATCACAGCAATCAATTACATTTTAACATAAAATATTCACATAGAAAACAGCTATTTTAAATTGTACGAATATTTCACAATATTACTGTTTTTACTGCATTCTTAATCAAGTAAATGCAGCCTTCTTTCAAAAACATTTTATTCCAGTTATTCTAAACTTTCAACCAGTAATGTCGAAGGAGCATTTCTGAAGACTCCATGCAAAAGTTCAACAGCAAAAGCTTTTTTTTTTTCACAAATTAAGATATTTTTAATGGAATCTGAGAGCTCTCTGACCCTCCCATAGACAGCAATGTAATTATCACGATTAAGGTCCAGAAACGTTGCAAGGACATTGGTAAAATAATCCATGTGACATCAGGGGTTCAACCGTAATTTTACGAAGCTATGAGAATACTTTTTGTGCACAAAAGAAAAAAAATAACGATTTTATTCAACAATTCGTCTCCTCCCTGGTGCCATTTTGGAGAGTATCCACTGAATGCAAACAGCGTATGATATTCTGTGTCAGCTGCGTCACGCAAATAGTTTTTCTACAGTGTTTACGCTTTGATTTGAACGAAAACAACGTATACGTGTGGTGCGGCTGACACAGAACAGCATATGCTGTTTACGTCCAGCTGATACTCTCCAAAATGGCACCAGGGTGACGCGGAGGAGACGAATTGTTGAATAAAGTTGTTATTTTTGGACGTTTCTGGACCTTGATCGTGGTAATTACTTAGCTGTCTATGGGAGGGTCAGAATGAATCAAAAATATCTTAATTTGTGTTCTGAAGATGAACGAAGGTCTTACGGGTTTAGAACGACACGAGGGTGAGTAATTAATGACAGAATTTTCATTTTTGGGTGAACTATCCCTTTAAGACTCTTCAGAAAATCTCCTTTAGTTTCTCCCTTTACTGTAACATAAGCAGACACTCATCTGATGATTTTGATCATGATTTCTCTTTTACAGTGCTCTGTCCTACCTAGAGAGAGACTCGTCTCTGCAGCGTTCCTGGAGGGAGTTACTCACTGTGTTCCTCAGATTTCTCACTGCATGATGTGTTCGACTTCAGCTGCAGGACTCTGAGTTCTTCTGTACTGATGTGATGGTCTGTATTTTGCATGTTTACCGCACATGGCAGTTTGCAGTGTGCAGTGTTTGTAGGTTTGTGTGTTCAGTGACTGGAGGAAAAAATCCAGATCTGGACTGTAGGACTTGTCTCAGTGTAAATGTCCACTTTATTTTGCAGCTTAGTAAGGTCATTTCTGTGAATGTGTGAGACTTCTGATTCATTAGGTAAATACTGTATATATAAGAATAACAACATGCAGTAAACAGTAAAACTATTTGCACTTCAATCCAGTGTATTTAAGAGTGTGATAATAAATTTAAATAATATGATAACAAATACCAGTTTGAAATCAAGCATCATACTAGACCGCTTTAAGGGCTAAAATAGCAGGACATGAATGATACAGGAAGCCTCACACATTCAAGTTATAAATGGCTGCATCCGTGCCTACAGTAAAAATAAGGTGGACAGTATTAATGTACTGATGCAGCGCGAGTCCCGTCAGAGAGAGATGTGGGTTAGTAAAGTTATTACCATCCCATGGTAAGCAGCAGTTTATCCACGTACTGTATGATCTAAATCAGTGGTTCTCAACTGGTGGGTCACAACCTCAAAATTTATCTGCAGGCCTGTTCTAATAAATACTAAATAATAACAGTAATAGTATAAATCAATAAAAGTAATTAAAATGGCATACAAATAATGTAACTTAGACACACTATATGTGACACTTTTGTCATATTGCTCATATCATACTAATAATTTGACATTGTTGACACTATATATATATATATATATATATATATATATACAGGTCTTCACAAGGTTTTCACACACTGTTGCTGGTATTTTGGCCCATTCCTCCATGCAGATCTCCTCTAGAGCAGTAATGTTTTGGGGCTGTCGCTGGGCAACACGGATTTTCAACTCCCTCCAAAGATTTTCTATGGGGTTGAGATCTGGAGACTGGCTAGGCCACTCCAGGACCTTGAAATGCTTCTTACGAAGCCCCTCCTTCGTTGCCCGGCGGTGTGTTTGGGATCATTAGTCTCATAGTTGAGGTATACATATGATGAAAATTACAGGCCTCTCTCATCTTTTTAAGTGGGAGAACTTGCACAATTGGTGGCTGACTAAATACTTTTTTGCCCCACTGTATATACGTATATACACACAGTACAGGTGCATCTCAAAAAATAGAATATCGTGAAACAGTTCCTTTTTTGTGTAACTTAAAAAAGTGAAACTTTCATATATTCTAGATTCATTACATGTAAAGTAAAACATTTCAAAAGTTGGACGTTTTGATTAGAGCTTGCAGCTCATGAAAGTCAAAAATCCAGTATCTACAATATTAGAATATTTCTTAAGATCAATAAAAAAAACAGAAAAGTTCATTTCTGCACTCAATACTTGGTGGGGGCTCCTTCAGCAAAAACTCCAGCATCAGTGAGGAGTGAATGGAAGCGATCCGCCTGTGGCTCTGCTCAGGCACTATTGAGTCTTCAGATCGGATCCACTGTTTCTCATCTTTCTCTTGAAAATATCCCATAGACTCCATATGGGCTTCAGGTCAGGCATGTTGGCTGGCCAATCACGCACAGTAATATCATGGTCAGCAGACCACTTGGAAGTGGTTTTGCACTGTGGGCAGGTCCTGGTCCACTGCTAAGTCCTTCTGGAAAAGGAAATCAGCATCTCCATAAAGCTTGTCAGCAGATGGAACCATGAAGTGCTCCAAAATCTCCTGGTAGATGGCTGCATTGACTTTGGACTTGATAAAACACAATGGACTGACACCAGCAGACCCCAAATCATCATCATTGACTTGGTCTGAATACTTTCCGTACCCACTGTATATTTAATGTAAATAGAAACCTGTATAAAAATCTCTAATTAATTTACATTATATTACATCATATTACAGTGCCACTATTGAGCTTCAGCTCGTCTGTATTGTTGGATCGACTGTTTCTCATCTTTCTCTTGAAAATATCCCATAGACTCCATATGGGCTTCAGGTCAGGCATGTTGGCTGGCCAATCACGCACAGTAATATCATGGTCAGCAGACCACTTGGAAGTGGTTTTGCACTGTGGGCAGGTGCTAATTCCTTCTGGAAAAGGAAATCAGCATCTCCATAAAGCTTGTCAGCAGATGGAACCATGAAGTGCTCCAAAATCTCCTGGTAGATGGCTGCATTGACTTTAGACTTGATAAAACACAATGGACCGACACCATCAGACCCCAAATCATCATCATTGACTTCGGAAACTTCACACTGGACTTCAAGCAGCTTGGATTCTGTGCC